TCCATCTCCTCTGCAATCAAGCAATGAAGCTTATTTCTAAAGCATTTAAAACTAGGTTTCAAAATAATACAGGTCTGGCTTTAGAAAAAGAAAAGTTAGCTGTTCCCAGTGGGCTGACCTAAGCTTTTCTTCTGCCACTGTAAATCTTTGTGGCTTTTGCTTAGGTGCATAACTTCTACTTTGGGGAGAAAGGAGAAGTATTCCTGTGTATGGATGCTGGTGACACATAATGCCTAGATGAAAGGTATTTACTAAAATGATGAAGGGATAACATAATTCGAATGTGTTGTAAGTTAAGTCGGTATTCTTAGTGTCCTTCTACAGCATGTATTAATCCTGTAAAGGTATTTCAGTATCTGGTTCCTGCTTCTGTTCTTCCCTGACGTCTCTGCTCTTTCTATCTTCTCCCCCTTCTGTCTTTAAAGTCTTTCACACTGCTTTTTACAGAAGAATAACCTGGCAGTCTCCACTGCACAGCTCACACATGACTTCAGAAGCACTGTGGCAGCAATACAGTCTGATTCAGATTTTTCCTCTGCAGTAGAGCAGAGTCAAAGGCAAATACAAAAACTTTCTGCAGTCTTCAAAAGCAGTTATTTTAAAGCTGTTCGTTCTTTCTTTTTCCTTTTTAAGAACTAATAGGCATGGTGTTTTGCCTCAGGAAAGGGAATTGGTATAATAACCAGCTTTGTATAACATGTTTAAAAAAAAATAAATACATCTTTTCCCAGAAAACCAACATGAGTTGGTTCACGATGAAGTGCACAGAAAGTATTTTCACCAGCATAATCATTCAAAACAAATACTTGGAATGATGTTTGAAAAAGGAATTATTGCAAGTTTTCTTACTGCTTGGGTTATCTGTTTCAGAGCCTCTTCTCAGAACTCACTACACATCACCTGTGATAGATTGAACTTCATACAGAGTTTGCCTAAGATAATTACATATGTTTCTTTGTATAACCATGTATTGTACTCTGTAAGGACTTACTAGGTCAAGTTATGTATTCCAGTTTTCAAAGGTATATATTTGTGAAATGATGTTCTGTGTAAACAAGTTTTAGCTATGTACCCTTTTTTAAAAAAAAAAACAACACCACAACAAAACCCCAACCAAACATACAATGTAAAAATCAGAGAAGAGAAAGGGGAAGGTAAAAACATGAACTTCTCTACTAAAATCCAGTGATGTACAGGCTCTGAGGCTAAAAGGTGAAGTGATGTGTATTTGTCATGCAATTTAGTATTTATGCACCTGAGCTGTAGATCTTGGAATACTTTTAATACTGATATTTTTTGCCACTGTGATTAAAAGAACCCCACCAAACCCTTCACAAGCCACTGGCAAAGGAGGAATTAAGTGCGCTTTTCCCTTTCTCCTCTGCCCTCCCCTCCTGGCAGTGAAAGATGGCAAAGCTAAATAAATCAGCTGGAGACACTGCAGAGCTGGACTGAACTAACTCAGCAGCCTCGGGTATGGACAGCTAGCAAGTATAGCACAGAGCCAGCACCTTTTACCACATGTTCTCCAATAAGAGCAGGAGTTGGAGTTCTGTGCTTTCTTAATTTTGGACATGAGGTATGTAATTAGCTATATGAAAGGCTAAACATTAGGATTTAAAGTTACCAGAGGACTTTCTGTTCAAAAGAGTGAGGGCAGCACTTGATGGATGGCCCCCCCTTCCCTCCAGAACTGCATCTGCACAGCTAGTGCTGGTATACAGATCTGTTTTCTTTTTTTTTTTTCCAGAATAGGTTAAATACTGGATACAGTGGCAGACTTCAAAGTGTATTATGCATTATCAAATAAAGTCTTAGTCCATGGCAATTCATTTAGTTTGTTACATGAACAATTTTGACATGTATTTCAGAGAACTTCAAATAGAACGTACTGCTTATGTCTCTGCCACAAGTGCCGTGATGAGATCTGATAGTCTTCTGCACACCCTGTTTTCCTCTCTTGAAGCAAATGTCTTCTCTGTAATCTAGGTCACTGAGTCACCCAGCCAGCTGCTCACTTGATTTCCTAAAAGCTTCAAACATGACAATTCAAATTATCATACTCCAGCTGCTTTGCTGTAAACAAATTAATTCCAGCTAAACATAAGGCAATGATTCAAAGAAATTATGTTTAAGATTCTCTTAATCCATTCACTATAATGTCTCCTGGAAATGCATGATGAAATAGTGTGGCATAAGAAAAGGAAAAACATATGCAAGTAGTATGTAATTCTGTTATTCTCTGAAAGATCCCATTGAAATCCTCAGTGGGATACAGTAAAAGCTAATGACCTGTTTTGTCAGCCTTTGCTCTGTTTCAGGGTATTTTCCCCTTTCTGTACTGTTAAGAGTCAAGAACTAGTAACTTCAGCAAGGAAGCTAAACCTTGGTCCTTAGTTCTCCAAAAAGAACACCATTACTGCAGCCATTCAAGACAAGAGACAGTCTGTTGCTGTGCAGAGTGCCACTTCATGGTAAATGCCTAAAAATTAAAGAAAATGCCTAAAAATTCAGTGAAAAGTACAACTGCATAAATACATGTGAGGACGCTGTATAAACCCTGTTACAACTTACAGTAATGGTAAACAATACTGTCCCTGCTTTGTAAAATAGACTGAATTTAATTTGAATTTCATTCAAACTATGTCAGTTCTCAGCAAATGCTGGTATCTTAATGTAAGAATTGTAAAAGGTGTTTGAACTGCATGAACACTAAAGCAACCCCCTCTTGATGTTTGAGAGAGTTCCAGCAATCAGAAAGGCTTCCCCTAGGCCCTCCTGTCCCAGGCAGTGCCCTGGCACACCCCCAGCCAAGGCCTGGCCTCTCTGGGACCATAAGGGTTGCTGTAATTTAAAAAAAAAAAACAAAACCAAAAAAAAAAAAACCCCAAACTCACTTCAGGTCACGCACTTTAATACAGTGTTACACATACAGAAAATTGTACGGGAAATAAATGGTAGGTTGAAATTATTCAATTTTATCCTGATTGCAAAACAGTCTCAAATCAAGAAATTACAGCATATTTACACATAGCTGATATTTTATATAAAATGCATTATTGAATTTACACTTTTTATGATTATAGAATAATACTTCATTATTGAGGACTAAACATCTACAGTAAGAATACTGAAAATAGTGCATATGAAACAACCAAGATAACTGTATTAATTGCCAAATAACCATTATTTTTTTTTTAATATCCCTATATATGTGTATACACTTTCTCTTACTTTATGTGTGTGAGTGTGTAGTCTTAAAATAAAATCCTTGCACTGTTGATTACTGTCTGCGCCCATATGGTATCATTTGTTGCACTGTATTGTTCTTTGCATGCACAGTCGCATGCTTGTGTAAGCCAAAATGCATGTTTACTGCTTGTCCCTGAAGAAGCATGATACATAACAACATAGACACAGACCTGAAGTATTTCATATTTGCCTTAAATGCTTGCTTCAGCCAGTACTACCAAACACGCTGTGGACTGGACAAAATTACAAGAGAGGACCTGATGAGTAGATTCTAGCTTTCTTTGCCTTGCCCTAAATAACTACAGCTGGTTGAACTACAACCTCAATATACGTGCTATGGAATTCTTAAGGACTAGTCATTTACTGATTTGTTTGAAAACCTGTCCTTCCAGCCCCACCAAATAGCTATCTATCTGTCTTGAATTTAATTTGACTTATTGCTGCTGCTTTTTCTATCCTTTAGCAGCAGGTTTTTCATATACAATGAGTGTAATAGCCATCCTCATCTCTCTTCTCCGGAGCAGCGCAGCCCCTGTGGGTTCACTGTTTCCAAAGGCTCCATTTTCTAGACTGCTGATGGTTCTCTTCCCTCCAGTTGGTCCATCTCTTTTGCAACAAGGGACCAAAAGCTCAGCACACCTAAGTTACACCTTAGTGATGCAGTAGGAATTGCTCCTGTGCTATCTAGTATCTTACAGGCTCTAGGCTTCAGTGTATAAACTCCAGCAGGGCGTAAGAGGGGAGGGACAACGCAATAGTCTCTCTAACGTTCAGCGTGTTACGTGCTATGATGCCTGTCAGTTCAGCAGAAAGTTACATCCACAGTCTCTACTTGTGTGGCAGATTATGCCTTCTACTAGTCTACTTTGTCATTCCCGAAGATTATTTTTTTTTGTCTGTCCCCTTTTCCAGTTTGCTCAGTATTTTAACTCTAAAATTTGCCCACCAACATATCTCTGCAGTTGAGCTTTAGTACCTTGTCTTTAGTTTGATTGATTGTTACAGAATAAAGTGTCCATCTATGAAGATGGTACTCTGGTAGATCTAGAACGGCCCCTTGTAAAAATCTTACTCTGTACAGCCTTCCCTTTTAAACGGGGTACCAGTAAGTACCCCACACTGCATTTTATGGGCTTTTCCCACATCTGCTCCAAAACAAATCAGCTAAACCACTCTGCCATCGCAGCAAAGTAAACGAGTAGTTTGAATTTGAGCACCACCAGAGAATGCCTGCTCTGCTCCAGCCCTCTGGTCATTCACAAAGTTGAAAGGGGTCTTAGCTGAAAGGGAATGTTTTATGAATTGGAGGCTGTTGCGAAGAAAAAGCAAAATGTTGGAAAAAGAGGATTTTCGTGCCCTGGTGAACGAAAACTAGTAACTCCATATACTGAAAATAGGAGCCAAACAGCGTATTACTCAAATTGTTCACAAAGGAATCACTGTAAGGCAAGTTATAAACGAGTTAAAAATATTCAGGCATGTTCTACAGTATCTGAAAAAGCATCAAGTGGAGTTTTTCAATGGTAATTGAGTTCACGGAATAACCTCAGTATTCCTAATATTTTTTAAAAATTGCACGTAACTTTATTACTAACAAAATGTAAGATACACAATAAGACTGGGATGTCACTCAGTGGAAATCCACCTTTGGACAAGCAAGATTCCAGACAAGATCTGAATGTAATTCAATTTACGAGTGTTACATTAATGATTGCCCGTAGTATTTTCTACACATAACTTTGAATATTAAAATTCTGCTTTTGTAATCAACTCCTACCTAATCATGTCTTCCAACAGCTGTCCGCCACGCTGAATCCACCGGAATTAGGTGCAGGAATAACAACCCCTTGTTTCTGCAGTTCACGTAAAACATCTAATATTGAATCCAATTCCACTCGAAATTTCTCCAGTTCTTGATTCTTCTGCTGTGCCAGTCTTCGCCACTGCTCAACCTCACGGGTCTGCCTCGCTTCAGTAACGCGCTGTGTTAGTTGGGTTGCCTGCAAATAAGAAGCAAGTCAGCATTGTGGCTTCCTTGTCAAATACTCGGGCAACGCTGCCCCTTGGCAAAGACATGCCGCTTCATTACATTTAATGCTCAGTCTCAAAGCCCAATGCTGACGTTAAGTGGAAACAATTTGTTCTGAGTATTTTTAAAAACTATATCATTTTGATAGCAATACATTCCTTGAAATATTTGCATTAATGACAGAAGGGTAGAATCCATTACTAACTAATGAGCCTCAGGAGAATTTAACTTGGCCTTTTCAAAGCAGCAATTAAAAGTTTGAATATTTAAGACAAAGCTGAGCCTATAACATAAACCCCTCTGTAATCAAAATTAACCTTCTGAATTGTCATTTAAATGTGTTAATTAAAAGAACACTCGGCAGGAAAAACAAAGCAAATCTGAATGGCATGTTGAGGGCTACTACTGTACTTTTAAAAACCACAAGTTCTATGAATTATCAGAAAATACCCTGTAGCCACAAAGGTCTGAGCTGCTGCAGATAAGAGTTTGAATTATTTTTTACATGAATCCATGGTATAATCCTATTAAATTACCCAAAATAAAAAGTGTCACAAGATATCAAAGTCTTCACACCACTATTATTTGTAATAGATTCTTTAAGGACACCTCTATCACTTAAAGGCCGTAGTTATTGTATTTGTAGTTTGATACCAAGGATAACCTGTTATTTCCTTTTTCAGCAATTAGTTACATTGTTCAGTTTGTTAACATTCAGTTGGGGGACTGTTCAGTGCTCCACTGCAGATGATTTAAGGTGCAAAACCCGAACAAACAAAACCCAAAGCTCAATACATAACGGTATATAGTAGCACCAGGAAAGATGAAATTACTTAGTAGTAACTGTTGCGTATACTACTATTTCTATTTTTTAAAAATACATTACAAAACATCTTGGTAAATACTATAGGTCAGATAATGAATTCATTGGAGACAGATCACAGACTAGGCAGCAGCAGACACACTACAGAAATGGTAAAGAAATTCTCGTGTTATACAAAAGCAAATGAATGGCATAAAAAGTAACTGTATTACAGTTGCCTTTAGCAGGACAGAATGTGAACAAAAATAATAAAATCATCAGTGGCGGCAGGGTTTGTTCTTAATCCAATGACTTGTTTTATGCACAGCTCTTTTGGGGAAGAAAATGAAAAATCTGATCTAGAAATGTATGAGAATAAAACCTTCTGTCATGAACAATTTGGTGCATAAAAGCGTATTCCTTGAGATCTGGTTTCAAAAGTGTAGAATAAACTCCACAAACTAAGAACTACTACAGGTTTGATGATCCTCCAGTCCAACTGGATCTTCCTTCTCTGAATTCATATATTTAAGTAAAACCTAAGTTAAAACACTAACGAAAGACAGTCTTATATTTAAGTGATGAAAGGGTTGAGAAAAAAAGATCTATATGAACTAGAAAACTGTTTCCAGATGATAGAAGCTCCCCAGATAGATGAAAAATCAGGATGGAGGCGATGACATAAAAAAGATGAAAAAAAATCAATGCAAAATTGTGTTAGCCATTCAAGGGATACAAATGTCAGATACAAGAAGCTGTATCACAAAGATCCAACCTTCAAAATCCAAATATACTTTGTGGAGGCTTTTTTTGTTGTTGTTGTTTTTGGGTATTAAAACCAGTATGTGGTAGACTGCCACAAGATATTTCTATACTTCTTATGCAGCTTTTCTGAATGTGACTTCTAGGACTAGAAAATCAAATTGCAGTTCAGCTGAGAAATATATCATAGCTTAACAAACTCTGCATTACAAACTCTCGTCGATTTTTCAATATCTAGCTTTCATTGTGTAACTGAAATACGAAATAACCGAATGATATAAAGGACTTCCAGAGGTCATGTGGTCCAACCCTCTGCAAAAACAAATCCTCCTTAGATCAGGTTGCGAGGAAGTTACGCACCTGATATGCACGTCATGCACAAGTTCTCTTAATCACCACAGCAAGGAAGTGCTGACTAGCACTGCATGGACATTCACGCGCATCAGCAGGCACCAAAGACAAAACCATTCCGTATCAAAAGTACTTTCCCCCCTCCAGTGTGGGCTAAATGAGCCTGTGCAAGTAACAGTAAAATTACAGTTAAACTGATAAACTGCTCTTGAGAAATAAATGCAGATATACTCTGGTGTACCTTTTGAATTTCTTGCTCTCTTACTGCACGTCTGGTCTCTATATGCCTGATTTTCTTTTCCAGGCCCAAGAAATGTTTCATTTCAGGACTCTGGCTCTCCTTAGCCTCTCTCAGTTCTTCCAACAATTTTGTCACCTACAGATTGAGAGAATTGATGAAAATTGTTATCGTTGTGTTAAGCAGTGTATATACCAAATTCCTTTCAAAGCCTATTTGCATTATTTAATCACTCCATTCAAAAGCTGCAGAAAGGAAGACATAAAAGAGAAATGTCCTTTATTCAAAAGCTTAAACACAGGCTCAGGGACTTAGATTAGCATCTTTCATGTGTAAGAAGTGGCCTGAAGATATGAAAATCTAGTCCTTTTTGATAAATCAAATCCTGTTCATAATATGTTTTGAAGTGATTATTCACAGTCGATTTTTATACTGCTAAACATACTGAAAAATTAATAGAGAATATTATGTTAGATGTTCTTACACAACCCCTTCTCACAGCCCGGATAAAGATCAAATATAAAAGGTACAGTATATTTCTAAGGAATAAATTAAGAAAAGACACGCTGCTAACAGACATGATTACAAACCCGCTTGGGTCTAATAATTGCTGGGTCAATTCAACTCTACCAATGACTTACAACTGGTTTTCTAATCCTCCAGAAATTCAGGTAAGTTTTCTTACAAAGCCCTACTGGTTTATTCTCATTCTTCACCTATCTTAAGTAACTTGATATTTCTTCACTTAACATCTGAAGTCCTTTTTGGTCACTTTCTTAACTGTATAAGTAAACTAAAGTAAAAGCTTTGAAGTCTTTATCCTTTATTATATCCCGTAGCTCCCCTTACCCAATACATCTGCGAACTGCTAACCCTCTTCAAGCACTCAGCCATCCTTGGCTTTCTGCTGCTGAATTCAAGTAGCTGGAAGCATTGTGTACTTCGTAAGATGTTGTCACTCTTACAGAGAAGTGACACCGAGATGGCTTACTATTATTTCCATTTTTTAACATGGTTTTCCAAAATAACAAGGCCTATATTATCACATTTTTGCCTGTTCATTACTCCAGCAGCTTTGAACCTGTGGACCAATTTCAGTTGTGTTTGTGAGAGAGAGGAGCAGAAGGCTTAGTTTTGTAACGTCTGTGAAAAATAAGTGTCTGCTGCTTGTCAGCCAAGTTGCCCCACTGAAGGGAAGGGCTGATGCGTGATCTCAAATACATAATTAAATACAAGAAAAATTAATGCAGGAAAGATGTTATGAGGGGGAAAAATGCCCCAGGAGAAAATGGGCTCCATACATTTTGCCAGCAATAGAACTATGTTAAATACAGAGCTGTCCTACGTGCAAGCTGTTATACAAGAGGAGTATATAGTTAAAGAAAAACATCCATGAACAGCGTTTCTGAGATTTGTGTTCAAATAACAGTCTTCCAGTGAGCCTCAGAAAAAAGCTGGCCTTTTTTGAGGTACCACCGTTACAGACAGAGGACTCTCAATCCTGTTACAAATGGTAGTGCTGTTCACTATCACGACTAAGTCCGTTTGCAGGTTTGGTCGTCTTCATTTTTCAACTTAACTTGTTTAACCATGTAATGCTTAAAATACATCTCGTAAGCAGCACAGCAATCATGCTAGAGGGCAAAAGCAAGGTTTTACTTCAACATTTCTCTCTGTATAGTCTTGCAATGATTTTTGTAACAAAGGCACTCTGTTACATTTTCTTAAATGCCAGCACCTCAAACTCAGCCTGTAACATGTGGGTCAGATAGGATGATCATTCTCATAACCATAGCTGTCATTAATAATCTGTAAAGCAAACAGTCACAGAAGAAACAAACATGTTGAATAACATTTGTCTCATTGTACTCTCGCCCCGTTTTCCCAGGAAGAAGTATTATATAGACTGAGACCACTGGAGTGAACCAAGCTTTGTACAGAAAGGCAACATGTATTATTAGATTCATAATATGAACCCAACGTCTCAGCCTTTATTCTGCAAATACAGAGCTTGTTTAACAGGAGATCTTTCTTCTCTCCCTACATACCCTCGCTTTTCTACTAATACATCACAACAGAGGTGGAACATTGCATAGATAAGATAAATACTGAATAAATTTAATGAGATTAAGATTAATTATATTAAGTATGTACTAAACACATACTGATACTTCTCTCATTTCTTCTAAATGAGGGCAGCAAACAAGGTTAAGCATCTGGAGTTCTCAGTCCCTTGCAGAATAGAAGAATTCTTTTTAATAACTCCTGCAGGTTAATTACTGTATTATCAAAATGAGGTTACAATTAGCAATGTTCATACATCAAAGAGATGGTGAATTAAGCATAGCCTATATCCCTCTCCCGAACAGGAGGTGATTAAGAGAAGAAAAAAAAAAAAAAAAAAGAGATTGGCAGCACTTCAAGAACAACAAAAGCATAGCCAATCGTTTGAAAAGCTTGAGCTACAAGACAGACAGTAATTTTACACAATATTATCCCAAAAATGAAAACATGACCAAGCGTAATTTTTCAATTTTATGCTATAAATAGAAGATTAAGAAAACCCTAGAATACCTCTCTGAAAAAACAGTGAAATTCAGAACTATTACAACTAACCCTTTTTTCTTCAGAGACTACAAGTTTCATAGATATCAAAGGAGAAAGCCAAGAATATAATTGCCTAAGTCAGTTTTATGGTAATGAAGGATGAAAAAAGGAAGGCTTTATCTAAACAAAGAATTCGAAAACAATAATAAAGTATCCTTTTAATAAAGAAAAAGTCCTGTGGTCTATTTACTACCCATCACAACTCTCAAAGAGGAGGCTATGAATGCTTGGATTAACCTGCTGATCAATTTTCATACAGAGGTCAGACATTTCTAACATCAAAAATAATAATTAAAAAAGATATCAAAGGCAGTCGAAGTTCCACCTTGTGTGTTGTGTTGTTCTCTTGCTCACATTAGAAAAATATATTGCATTCTCAGGTATAATTGATGTAAAGGCAACTGAGAAAGATACCGTTTCTAAGATCTATTTTACTATATAATTTGAGGCTTTACAAGGATGAAAGTGAAAACTGTTTTATCAGAATGAGGTACCCCCAATCCAAATTTAAATATACCTCTTTTTGTAGGAGTTCCTCTCTCATCTGTGAAACAAGAAGGGCTTCCTGATGTCTCTGTTGTTCACTGATTTGTTCCTGCAGATGTTTTATTAATATCTAGAAAAGATTAAAATAGTCATCATTAACATAAATACTCATGACAACATGTCAAACCCTGGACAGGAAAAATACGCCAAAAATATAATCAAGTATTGTAGTACTGCAGGTGTAAGTGATGCCTATGTTAACAATACTACCTCTAACACATGTGCATGTGTGCTATTAACCAATCCTCTACATGGATTGTTCAATAGCACAGATGTACATATGTAGTACATAAGTCCATGGCCCTGATGAGATGCAACCATGTGTGCTGAGGGCAAATATCACTCCTCCTTTCAAAAAGGGCAAGAAAGGGGTCACGGGGAACCACAGACTAGTCAGCCTCATCTCAATCCCTGGGAAGGTGATGAAGCAACTAATCCTGGAAACCTGGCTGGCACACGAAGGACAAGAAGGTGATGAGTATAAAGTATGGATTCACAAAGCAGAAGTCATGCATGACCAACTTGATAACCCTCTACGATGAAACGACTGGCCTGGCAGATGAGGGGAGAGCAGTGGGTATTGCCTACCTGGATTTCAGCAGTAAGGCTTTCAACACTGTCTCCTGTAAGATCCTCATAGAGAAGCTGATGAAATATGGGTTGGATGAGCAGACAGTGAGGTGAACTGCAAACTGACTTAAATGGCTGGGCCAGAGGGTGACAATGAGTGTAATGAAGTCTAGTTGGAGGCCAGTAACTCAGAGGGGTGTGGGCACGTGTAGAATTGTCAGTTCTGGGTCCAATCTTGAACAAGATCTTCATTAATGATCTGGATGATGGGGCAGAGCGTACCCTCAACAAGTTTGCTGATCACTTAAAACTGGGAGGAATGGCTGATAACACCAGAGGGTCATGCTGCCATCCAGAGGGACCTCGACAGGCTGGAGAAATGGGCTGGCAGGAACCTCGTGAACTTTCCCAAAGGGAAGTGCAAAGTCCTGCTCCTGGGGTGGAATGACCCCAGGCACCAGTATATGCTGGGGACCACCCAGCTGGACCTGGGTGTCCTGGTGGACACTAAGTAAACAAAAGGCTAACAGTATCCTGGGCTGCGTTGGTATGATTGTTGCCAGCTGGTCAAGGAAGGTGGTCCTTCTCCTCTACTCAGCTCTGGTGAGGCCACACCTGGAGTATTGTGTCCAGTTCTGGATTCCCCAGTGCAAAGAGACATGGTGCTAATGGACAGAGTCTGCAAAGAGTCATTAAGATGATGAAGGGACTGGAGCATCTCATATGAGGAAAGGCTGAGCGAGCTGGGACTGTTTAGCCTGGAGGAGAGAAGGCTCAGGGGGACCTCATCAATGTTTATAAATATCTGAAGAGAGTGTGCAAAGCCAACAGAGCCAGGCTCTTTCCAGTGGTACATAGCGACAGGACAAGCAGCAAAGGGCACACGCTGAAATACAGGAGGTTCTGTCCGAACATAAGGAAAACTTCTTTACTGTGAGGGTGACCAAGCACTTGTTTGGGTCTCGAAGCCCAGAGAGGTTCCATGCTTCCCAGAGTGGAATCTCTGTCCTTGGAGATACTCAAAAGCCATCCTGACATGGTCCTAAGCAGCTGGCTCTAGACAGCCCTGCTTGAGGAGGGGGGTTGGACAAGATGACCTCCAGAGGTCCCTTGCAACCTCAGCTATTCTGTGATTCTGTTAATACACATAGGCCCATTTTCAAAACAACAGATTCTACTTCAAATTACAAGAAAGTTTACAGTAATCTAGAAAGAAGTAACTTTAGCACATCTCTATATGTAATGAATGTATCTTACCTCTTGTGTTGAAATTCTGCTGTTTAGTTCAGCTACTTTAGAAGTAGAATGCTCCTTTGCGTGCTGGCAAAGAATCTTCTCCACTTCTCTCTGATGGGAAGCTTTCAGAGATGCAATGTACTCTGCTGTGTCTTCCTGTATCCTGAACAGATTGACAGAAAAATATGATGTAGTAAAGCAGCTACAGACAGTTCTTAAAAAGTGAGGCAAAGTTTCTTACTTGAACATACAAAATAGCAAAAATATTAAAGGTGGCATGTCTTTGAAATTTCGTAACAAAAGCTCGCAAGATAGCACCACCATTACTTCTGCTGCTCTGGAGGGATGACAGGGTGAGAAGCCTACAATGTTGGATATGTCCCTCATTTAACTAGAGGCAGCTAGAACACAGAAAAATTAGCCAATCATCTTTGTTTTTTTTTTTTTTGGCTCTTTTTATTAAAAAAAAAAATGGAGAGGAAATCACAATTCCGCTGTCCTATTTCAGGGTATGTATTTTAGAACAGAATGTGTTGCATTGTAAACATGCCAATTTCCTCTACTTTGACTCTGAAGGGATCTAAGGGAAAATGGGTGGTAAAGGTTTTACAGCTGGTCAAGTAAATCCCACTGAAAGCATAGCCAGCTTGAAGGAAAGTATGTATATCAAATATAGATGCTATACAACACAAATACAAAGCATCTGAAATGCAACAACGTATACTGAGATCTTTTTACTCAAAACCATGATGAACTGTAGCATTAATAAGAAGGATTAATACAGGTTTGCCTGCAGAATCACAACAGTGCACTGCTCTAAAAAAAAAAAACCAAAAACCAAAACCAACAAACCACACTCAAAAAACCAACCAGAAAAACTCAAAAAACCCCCCGCCAAACCAAAACCAACAGTAAAAATGAAATTCACAGACAACATTGGCCAAGCATAAGCTAGCTTCACACACGGCTGACATGTTAATGTGTCACTTCAATCCTGTATCAGCCAACACTTTACCTTTTTTTTAAAGGAACATGTTGAACATTTACCTTCGTATGTTATTTTCAGAATAAGCCAGTGTTGCCTGAGACTTCACCCTCTGCTGGTTCATTTCTAGAGACAGTCTTTCAAGCTGCTCTTTCAGCTGTGCGTTTTCTTGCAGAACTTCCGAGAGATTAGAATCAGAAAAGGTATGCGGTTGGTATATTTTGTCATCGTTGAAAATGCTTAGAAAGGGTTCGCTGTTGCTGGAATTCCTTTTATCTGTTGCTAAGGTATTCTTTTTCAAGATCTCTGTAGAGTTTTCCTTATTATCTGTTTTATTTCTCAAATTATTATCAGACAACATCGCCATCCTTTCTTTTTGAAGTTTCTCTACCGTTTTTGTCAGGTCTTGTATTTCTCTATTTTTGGTGATCAGCTCTTCATTTAGTTTTAACAATCTGTCTTTTGTGTTACCTTGTTTCATTCGAGAGTCTGTGGACTCTAAATCTTTATTATTCTTTTTACTTCTGAGTTTTAATTGGGAATTTTGACTTTTAAGGTTTTCGATTTCTGTCTGGAGGTTTTTAACGGTGATCTGATGGGTCTTCTTTAGATTCTGAAGCTCCTGTTCAAGTTCTGTAGAACTGGCTTTGTCACCATTCAGTTTTGGCGATTCACTTATAAATTTGTAGGCAAGTAGTTGCTCAAGTTCTACAAGTCTTTGCTCGTACTGGATCTAAGGGAGGGGAAAGGAAGAAGGGGAAGAAAAAAATGGTTTCCTCAAGTGTACATTTATTATTAGGCTCTTTTCATTATTCTTTAAAGTTCCTGCACATCTGAAGCAAGATTTCCTAAGATGGGATACACATCCGTATTACTAACAACACTACTCAATCCGTTCAGAAATCAGTGAGTGAAAAACCTATGTGAAGCAAACTTAAGTCTGCTGTAAAACAGAATTACTCAAAATGCTTACTACAAATTAATCCTCTGCTCACAATTAACACAGTAACTATGGGAAAGAAAATTAAATTGACAAAGAACTATTTCATTTTTATGTAATTGTGTTCCCTTCAGATGTTACCAACTTGGACAGGCAAAGTAAAATCTTATTTTAATATAGCAAGAAGTTTTTAGTTTTGTTAAAATCTGTCATTATATATTTGCCACGTGTCAGTTTGCAAACATTACTGTCATACGCCTCAAAATTGTACTTCACTTTTTAAAAATAATCTTAAAATTTAACAGGGCTGTCTTTTTTTTATTATTATTTTTTTTAAACATAGAAGTATGAATTCAGAGACACAGAATCTTTCTTCCTAATGAGCTGAGGAAAATCTCACCCTTCTTAATAGCCTGGATAGCCTCTGAGGAAAGCACGATGAGTTATTCACGTGGAGAAAATGAGGAACAACTGGCCAATACTTTTCTTTCCTGCTCTTTAAGTACCTGTGCAGTTCATCTTCCCATGAAGTAAAATGTCAGATTTTCATGCTTCCTAACACAAGTTTTAAGATTCACTATCATGTATTTTTTGGATAGAATGCTTAGTGTTCCCAGACGTTCCCCTCAAAAATGCCCAGTCAGCAGACCTTTGACACAACAGCCTTTGGCACAGCGAGGAATTAGGTAAGCAGCTACTCTGACCCACAGGATGAAACCCACTTATCTTAATTGCGAGAATTGAGTTATTATGCCTCAGGAACCTGTCCTATCAGTTTCAGTACTACTCTAACAATGTCAATGCTCTTTATATCTTAGATGCCAAAGCTACTGAAATTCTGGTTATAAATTCTTTGAGTATGTTTTCCCTTAAATATGGTCTTTGTCTTCAGTTTTCACTACTGCTCTGTGTTAGACCACGGTAACCTCATGACTGCTAACTGCAGAGTAGACTACTCAACAAGCCTCCAACTTTTACCTTTATTTTTTGAAATTGTTGTTCCATGGCACGGAGACTTTTTTTAGCTTCATCATCTTTACCTTCAAGTTCCGTTTCTAACTTTTTTATTCTTTTCTCCAAAAAATCCACTGTGTGTGTTTTAGCTGAAAGATCGTTAGTGTTCTCAGCAGCAGCAGCAGCATAAATCAAAGCAGGCAAAGAATTTGGATACCTTCTTTTAAGAATTCCTTCCATTTCTCTGATCTATCAAAAAGAAAACGAAGTCAGAAATCAAAAAGAATGGAGTTCTAATGAAAAGTGAACTGAAAGAAGTGACAGAACATTAACAAATGTCATCCACTTAAGCTGGGTGAAGAATGAAAGCTAGAGATGCATATGTTGAGAATTTTTTACATTGTTTACATTTAAGGTATTGTTTACAGAAAAACAAGACTCATCATCTCCTACTGATTGACTTATACATCTCCTTAAACAAAATATGGCTCTGGTCTTCAGATTGTCTTACATCAAATGGACCTTTTGTTTGCTTTCTCAGCACTTAAGTTGTATATGGCTCTTAATGCTCCTAAGTATTTGCTTTTTTTTCTGGACTTACATTCACATTCTACTTTTCCAACTGTTACAGAGATATTTCATAACATTATTGAAATTATTCTCCCAATAACATATTACATGTGTTTTATTTTGGAGTCTGCAATAAAATAAATTAACACCCTGCAGGCAAGGCTAATAACAAGCCCCTCTTTTTATCTATGGATAAGATATTCTTCGCATTATAATACTGCAGAGGCTCTTTCACATTTGTCCCACACCCCTACCAAATGCAGCTGCCATCTCCTAAAATTCAGAAAGGCCTGTTTCTTCCTGACTTTTACTCCCTAGAAATACGGATTTTAAGGTCTCTGCTCCTCCAGTTTTCATGAATCCGGAAAGAAATCCAACACAATTTAAACCCTCTTCTTGAATCAACATGGTTAAATTGGTCATAATGTTAAGGGGTTACTGAACATAGACAAAAAGAGTCTTAGAAGATAAACAGCAAGCTTGTGCGTGCTCTTGCAATCTTGTCCCTCTACAAGGAACTCTAAACAGTATTTTAACGTAAGGAATTTTAAAAGGGTTAGCTTATTAGAACAGAGTAGCAGAAGAGCCCTCGGTAAGTAAATAATTGCAGCTTTTTGTATTGAGTGTTCCATAGCACAAGTTACTTTATCATAGGGTTTCATTCAATGCTTTATCCTTGTGAAAGGGCTGGTAAGCATTGTAAGAGAATTTAACTGAAACAAAAGGTTAAATGAAACACAGCTCTATTATTGCATACTTGTCGCTCAAGGTCCTGAATTCTTTTAGCGTCTGCTGCTCTGTCTCGCAAACGTTTCTTCTGTTGCACACACTGATCTCCAGCTTCAGCTCTGAGCTTCTCAACCTATGCAATTTATGAGAAAATAAACTGAAATACATATTCAGAGACATTGTCCCGTAGTACAAAAGTAAGCATTTCAAATGCACGCAATATAATGGAAGTATTCTGCAACTGGTAATAGTAATTCCTGTACTAACTGATTCTTCAGGTTCTTAAAGTAAGTTACAGCTTCTACAAGCCACTTAAAATCAAAAGGAGCTGAAACTAGCTATAGAAATCTAGAAGAGAACTTCAGCTCTGGGACATTCTTATCTTCAGACCAGTAAGTGTGTTTCTTTCTACCATACTTCTAGTACGTAGGCTTGGTTAATAAGCTATAATATAAAGTACTACAGTATATTACATAAATTCAGGTGAGTTAAGGAAATAGTTTGTGATTTGCAAGGCTATGCTCTGTGATGAGATATAGAAACAGCCAAAAAGCAATGTTATGTGGTGCCTAAATAAATGCTGACTCAGAGGATCTGAGAGCTCATGCTTTTGCACTCCCATGAAGTCTGGCCATGAAGACTCAACGCTTTAATCTAAAATTGAATTCCCTACTTTTATCAGCCACTATGGTCATTGTACAGGGCTATTACAACTTGTACAGTTGGAAGTATTCCTAGCTTGATTTCTCTCCTATTGGCAATGTTAGCAGAAGTAATGCTTTTATGCCCACATAGTTTGACTAATTTGATTGTTCCTATGAAGTCAAAGCTCTTAATTGTTTTTAAACACCAGTTCCTCCCGGAGAAAATGCAAATAACAATATTTTCTTTCACAGCAACGATGTTTTGATTCAAGTTTGATAAGGTGGTGTTTAAGGGACCCCTTTCCCTGGCTGCTCTGTTAGAGACACCTCCTTTCATCTGTGATCTCTTTAATAAAACACCATGAAAAAATTTCAAGATCATTTTATCCTGGGTAAAACTCTTTGTATCTATGACTCTTAAGTCAAATCTACTGAGAAGCAGGCAATGCAAATCTCAGAACTATTCAAGATTTGTGTATTAGTCTTGCTTGCTTTATATTTTGAGTGTTTTGGCTTTTTCCTCCATATTAGAGCAACCAGAGAATTTTTCTAAGGAACAGAAGAGTTTAGAACCAGGATACTTAAGAGAAAAATAAGTGTTGCCTATGCTACAACAGAGTAAAAAGGAGGAAAAGAGAATGGCAAGAGGGATGTTCCAAGTTGTTAATGTAACAATGTACCTCCTTTTCTTAGTCAAGAAATTTGCAAGTTTTAAGGAAACGCACTACTTTTGTTTCCAGAAGCATCATCAAGGAGTTCAATACAAGCAAACCCAGGTTTTAAGCATTGTGCACTTGGCAATTACTGCTGCATATGCAGTAATATCTATTTTGCATATAAAGACATATAAATCCCACATTTGATTTAAAGCTTACAGATTTTACATGTATTTTTCTTGGAAAAATGGGATTATTATGGACAGAATTACAGTATACTCATCACTAGAAAAGAAATAATTTAAAGTTTCAACTTCTTAGATAAAGATAGATACTATCACCTCTAGTTTTAGTTTCTCAATTTCTTCTCTTGCATCTTTAAGACGGGCTGCATCTTTATCCAGAAGATCTTGATTTTCTGCATACCACTGAAGTCTTCTTTTCAAATGAGTAATTTCCTGTTTGTATGATTCTTCCATAACTTTAAATTCATAAGACTTCTCACCTACAAGAATAGAACATTTTTGTCTCATACGTAGTAGTACTCAATAGTTCACAGTTTACCATGGAAGGTGTTTAAAACAGAATCCCAGGGGGATCTATTCATGATCACATTTTAATAATCAAATTTCCAGTAACAACATGGATGACAATATAGCATATACACTTAGATATGTATTGACCATACTGCTCCCATTTAGGGACCAAGCATTTTGAGAAGAGAGATGGAGGCAAACATTACAGCTCTTAGCACTTGTGATGTCTGATATTGGAAGTGAAAGAGTCCAGTTTCCAGCCCTCTCTCATTAAGAAAACTAAAGTCAAACTGGAAAGAGTTCTGATAAGAATGTTGAAAAAAAGTCACAAGGCATAAGTTATAGGTAAAAAATGGGCAAGATCTAAATAAGAGACTAAGATGCAACATAGTAAATCTTTTCTTATGAACAGAGTTGTCATATAAATGGAATCATCTGTTTTCTATGCCCAATGGGAGATGGGCAAGAAATCAATAGGCAACAACAAAGAGTTTGGCTGGACACAGGAAAAGGCTTTCTAACAGAGTGCCAAAAGTACTGTAGTATGTCCTTCACTGTATGCTTTTATTAGAAGCTTATGTGGAAATGCTCTAGATGAATTTGACTAAGTAATATTTCAATAAGAAACAAGTTTTAATTACATATTTAGTGAAGCACAGAGTATGCAAAATTATTCAACAAAATGAAGGCGCTTTACCTGATGTGGATGCAACCTGAACTTTTGCTAAATCTCTCTCTTTCTTTGCTTGTCTTAAGTCTACCTCAAGAGCTTGCTTATCTTGTTTGAGATGTCTTATCTCTTCTTGTAATTTAGTTTCTTCCTTCTGAGTTTTAGAGAAAAGCGTAAGACAAGAAAAACTAAACATACATTGCCATACAAAAAACCTGAACATGTTTTTTCCACCATAAAATGATTAAATCACAACAGTTGCATCAGACCACTGCAGCAATGAGGTTTTCTAGTTTTGGTATTATTCTCAGGCCTTGCTATAGCACAGCATAGGAAAACTTAAGCTAAACATAAAAAAACACAGTTTTTTTTTTAATAAGTCTTCCATAATTGTCTTAGAAGTAGAAAACAACTGCCTTTTAGAGGGTCAGTAAAGAAAATGGCTTGATGTATTTCTAAGACTAAGACTGTAGCTTAAATGGACACATGTATTCTCCAATGGTTCATTTAACTACATTCTATTTCTTGCCATTTTCTGCACGCACTCTCTGTTCTGTTTGTTTACACGTGACCACTAGCAAACTTCACGACTAAGTAGGACCAAAGGTCTCAGTGCCAGCCTCTGGAGATGGAGACCCTTGGTCCTAGGGATCCATAGGTACAGGGAGAAGCAACTGTGGGGGTTGAGATTTTGAGTGCAGCCAGTAGATAGACCAAGCGTCTAGGGCCAGCAATGGCCAGCATGTACATGTATTTGGCGTTACTGCTACTGAACTCCTACCCTGATCTGCTAAACAGGATCAGTCCGTATGCACTCCTGGTGTTTCCAAGAGTACTGTGTGTATTTCTGTGGTGTGGACAAAGGCACTGCTCTCTCTGTTATCTGTGTGCCTGACCATGTCAGTGTTATCTGCGTGTCTCTCTCCATCTTTGGATCTTGTGTTCAGTCTCATTACAGGCTGAATCTAAGGACAGGGAATTGTAGCAGCAGCACTTATAAGGTTGGAACTAGGGGAGCCCCCGGAGTCTTAAGAGGTCAAAGTTAGCTTTATCAGACCCCACTGGTCCTGAAGCTCACTCACTTCAGATCCTCTTATCACCACCTACCTAACCAGTTGTTTTGTTTGGCTTTTTTTTTTTTTTAATTAAAAAAACCCCAAAAACAACAGAAGAAGCAGCTTTTAATTTCTGGTCTATCAGAGGAAGTATGTAGCAGAACAGCCCCCGGTTGCAGTAAGCAGAACAACAGAAGTTCCTGAAAACCTTTAATTTTAACATAAAGCATACTAAACATCCTTCCTCAAAACCACAAGCACCTGTAGGACTACAAAAAAAAAAAAGTTACATTAGTGAGTAACAAAAACAACAGAAGAAGCAGCTTTTAATTTCTGGTCTATCAGAGGAAGTATGTAGCAGAACAGCCCCCGGTTGCAGTAAGCAGAACAACAGAAGTTCCTGAAAACCTTTAATTTTAACATAAAGCATACTAAACATCCTTCCTCAAAACCACAAGCACCTGTAGGACTACAAAAAAAAAAAAGTTACATTAGTGAGTAACAAATGATTCTTTTCACTCTGGTGTTCTTTTCTAGAACTTACTTTGTACAGAGCAGGGATAAACACTCTTGCGGATTTGACTTATGCAGAAAAGCTATAGAGGTATCACTACTTTCTGCAAGCTCTCACAAGGTATCTCAGAATTGCCAGTAAACATGGCAAGACTGCACTTCTTTCAGTGAATCTGTGTCTTAGGGAATTTATGCTAGGGTTCATCTGATGAGACATTTACGATGACACAAACGTGGCAAATACTAGCATGCTCCACTGCTCTCTTCACTGTAGACATTATTAGTCTACAGTATGGATGGTTATGAATTTTTTAAGAACATGTGAAAAACAGGCTTGGCATATACCTACCTGTGCTGCTCGAAGCTCTGCAATCAATTCTGTGAAACTGTGATTTCTAGCTGGCTCAGAATCCTGCACACTCCGTGACTGGATATTATTAGTCTTTTCTATCTTTTCTCTAAATGTTAACAGCAAAAACATTTATGCAATGAGGTGACTTGGTGTACTGACAGTGGCGTACTGAAAAATAAACACAACCTGGCCTTACCCCCACCCCGGTACTACAAAGTCAATCTGTGCAATGTTAAAAACAAAGAAAGAAGCAACTATGCAGTACATCTTTATACAAAAGAATTCCACCTGTAGGGTGCAATCTGCTCACCTTGCACAAATGTGTTTGTTGGGACTACACGAGGGAGGGAAACAAAACCTACTCTGCCTCAGTGGAATTCATCTATGGCAAAGATTTGTAAATCAGGAATACAGACAATTGCTAGGTTTTTTCCTCCTTACTAGCACAGGGTGCAAATCTTACAGGACCTACAGTGCAGTGAAGCTGATAGTTCCTCCACTACCAGAACCTCTTGTGGCCCCTCATCTACTGTGTATCTTACAGCAGTATCAAAAGATTTTGACATGTAAGCAGAGCCATAATACCAGAGCCATAATATCAGAACAAGTGTAGCATATGTATTACGCACTGATATGAATAAGAATATTTGAATTTTAGCACTGGAATAGTCCCCAAATGGAAGACTAGTCTTCCCGCAGGTTTGCAAGATCAGCAAGAAGACTAAGAATTAAAGTCCCATGATGAACACAAATCAATTCTCAAAATAAAATACAAAACCACAAACTCAAGAAACACTGGAAAACATGCAACTGACAGACTCTGCAGTGATTCTTCTAAATAAAAATGATAAACACAGCTGAAAACTCCAGAGATTTTAGGTTGGGTGTTTAAATAAGCCTACCTTACGGTGATTAATTCAGACATTAAACACTGATTCTCCTTAAACATTCGTTCCTCATTTTTTTTGTTTTGGATCTGTAGCTCTTTCATTTGTTTGTATAACCTCTCATTTTCCTAAGATGAGACAGACAAAGTTAAAGAATGTTCATAAATTACTGTTTTATCCAGTTCAAAACCAATTGTCTATGACTTGCATAGTTTGCCTACTGACACAGTGCAAGCAAACACTAGATGTTTTATTACTAAGTTCTAAAATGGATATCTACTTTCATCATCTTTATGCTAAAGCAGTATACAGAATCACAGAATTTTCAGAGTTGGGAGGGACCTCTAGTGATCATCTAGTCCAACTCCCCTGCTAAAGCAGGATTGCCCAGAGCACATTCCTCAGGACTGCATCCAGGCGGGTTTTGAAAATCTCCAGAGAAGGAGACTCCACAACCTCCCTGGGCAGCCTGTGCCAGTGCTCTGTCACCCGAACCGTAAAGAAGTTTTTCCGTGTATTTGAATGGAACTTCCTATGTTCCAACTTGTGCCCATTGCCCCTTGTCCTGTCACTGGGAACCACCGAGAAGAGTCTGGCTCCATCCTCCTTCAACCCACCCTTTAGATATTTGTAAGTAATAATAAGGTCTCCTCTCAGCCTTCTCTTCTCCAGGCTAAAGAGTCCCAGCTCTCTCAGCCTTTCCTCATAAGGGAGATGCTACAATCCCTCAATCATCAGTGACCTCTACAATCCTGTCCAAGTGTCTGTTCACCCCAGCAAACCTAGCCCAGTTCCTCTGCAAAGCTATCCCAACTATATTCTAAAACCACATACATGGATGGGTGCTGATAGATCAGAGCTTAGACTGCATATGCTCCAATCCCGTGGACACAAACCATAACCAATTCGGGATGCTCACAGTCATACCAGTAAGACATTGCGCCTATAACAAGAAATGCTGCTGAGCAGCAGCTGGAAGCCAGTTAAACTAACCTATTTGATTTTACAACTGCAAGTATTCAAAGCGACTATTAAGCTTGCATTATCTATTTCTACACTTGACTAAGTAATAAAAATCACGCACGCTAATAAGGTTTCCTTGAAATCAGCTGCTCAGATCCTGTAAAAAACATCTTAAAAGCAGAACCCTCCAGATTCCTAATTTTTCTTAAAAATACTAGTTTTCTACTACATTTGGGGCAGAAAGTCTGTGGTTATTTAGTGGCCATAAAATGTTTTCCCAGTTCTCAACTGACAATTCAGTGTATTTTTTTTACAATTTAGAACAGTTACATGGAATCATGGAAAAACTTAGCCTAAACCAGACATGTGAAATATTTTTTAAACGTGCAATACATGTTTGCCCTTCACACCTAAATTTCATCCACTTTTTAAATAGCAAGACAACTGTTTTCAACAGGAAAGTAGTAACCATTAAATGATTTTGTTTCTGAAACTGTCTAGAACACAGCTCAATATGCTGTGTGGTATACCTGCTGATAACCTTGAATAATGACTTCTTGATCTTCGATTTCTTTTTGTATTTGTGCCAGTTTTTCTTCAGTGACAGGAACTGTTGCTGTATGATGGGTCCGTCTCTTTTCTTGAGTCAGCTCTTCCATACTTCTTAGCTTTCAGAAAAAAAAAAAGACATACAATTAATAAGAAAGTTTTGTTAGCAATATGGAATTTTCTACAAGACTATATGTTTATAATATAAATAGGTCAATCTTTTCATTAAGGTATGAAAGCAGACCAATGAGGCAATTTAATTATTGGAGTTTTACAGAAGCATTATGAAACAGGAACAGAGTATAAAAGGTTTGGGAAAAGTTAACAAAGTTTTACGCTCCCTCTTCTGGGAGGGTATCGTGGAATCACCCTGCGAATATGCCATACAGACAAAACACAGCATTGAAAAATGCATCCAAAAAATGAACAATATCTCACCATATAGTACCTTATCCATAACAAGTGGGATCTGTTAATCTCTTATTCTTTTTTTTTTTTAACCTAAGAGCGAGTTAAATATTTGCAAAAATACTGCTGCAGAACTCTCAAAATAGCAAACTAAGGGAACTCAGGATAACACAGTTTATCTCTGTAGAAAAAAAAAAAGATCATGTCTTATGGGCAATAAACGTAACAGCGGGTATACATTTACAAACCAGGAGTGTGTATATAAATCTGGATTTTCTGCTCATTAACAACTCATGTAAAATAGCACTAATTTAATTTTCAGAAGCAGTGTTTCACCTGTTCTATAGTAACGGGATACAAGATGATAAAATACCTTACTCTGGAGAACATAGTTTTCCTGACCCAACCGAGAAAGCTCCTTTTCATGCTGTGTTTTCAGTTCTACTATCTTTGCCTCCATTTCTTTCTCTTTTTGTGAAACTGTGCTGGTTAGCTGTTGAATCAAATCACGAGCTGTGTTCAGGTCTTCCTCTGCAACTTGCACTCGTTTTAGCAAATACAGTTCTCTATCACAACTTTTGATAGGAGAAAATGATAAATCCTAATGAAGAGAAAAATTTGGGGAAACATTCCACTGAGCTGATTGTTTACCAAAAATTCCGCTCATCAATTTTATTTAACTGGCTCTTGGCAACCACATAAGGCACCTGAAAAAAAAATAACCCAAACCCAAAATTCTAATAACAAAACATCCTGCATTTACTTTAATGAATTACTTTCTCATTTCTGAAATATGTATATGAGGAAAACAAGCCAAAAATCCCCAAGAAACAAACACCTCTCATATAAGAGCCACTACACAGCTACCAGAATTATTCTATTATGCATCTTACTTTTTGAAAAGCAGTAATGATTTAAGTATTCAATGAATAATTTTCTAAACAATTTATAAGGAAGAAGGAAAACCTGCAAATTCAGTCATTTTGGAGTCAGAAGATACCATTAAATATTCAATGCAATGCAAACATAAAAAGGCCCCAAACACTAGTACTATTTAACATTCATAACAAAATACTTTTACTTAAGAGGCTTATTTAAAATTTTCCCCTTTTCTACCACAAAATAGTAATTTTTAGAAATTAATAAGCATTCCAACTTTAAGTATATCGAACCACACAAGTAATAGAATTATCCAAGCAACAGAAAAGCAGCATGATTATACGTGCATATTTTAAAAGCAAAACCTAGCATTTGACCAAAGGGAAGTCTTTATTCAGTATTTCAGCATTTGCTAATCTTGTGATAATTATTAAAAGTTTTGACAAAATATGCTTGCAAACCAAGTTGTACATACTATAGTTAGAAGCATCACTGATTATTACTTACATGCTGATACTGCCTGCTATAATCCACAGCTTGGTGTCCAAGATTATTAACAACTGATTGGCCAGACATAACTCTGTTAATACTTCCCTTTGAAGTTTGTTCATTTGTTGCAGATCTTATTATCCTAGTAGTAAATAAGGTTTCTTCATTTAGGCAGAAAATAAAATAGAACAAAATTAAATTCAGAATTTAATGCCCTTTCAAAAAAATGTATTCATGTGATCCACCCCTTAGGCATATAAATTAAGTATTCTACAAACTGAATTTTGAATTAAATATAGAAACTTGAGAGCAACGAGACATTATGGAAAATGTTGTAGGTTTTTTTTTTTTTAAGTAAGGCACTGATGACAAGATAAAACAAAACCCAAGGGAAGAAATGAAACAAGTAGCTGAATAATAAATCTTTCATGAAACAAGGTTAACCTCAGTTCTCTGCTCGAGAAGTGGCCAGTAATCTAAGTATATAGAAATACAACCTATTTCAAGGTGTGGTAAAGGTAAGACACAGCAATTTTCAAAATGGACTTTGGAGTGCAGACAGCATACAAAGACATGCAGCACCTATTTGTTGCATAAAGTACCAACTTGACTGGAAATTAGAAATCAGGGAAGTTCCCCCTAGAGAGTAACTAACATACATGAAACTATTCACACCTTAGTCTTATGAAATGCAGATAATAACTACAACTGCCATTTCATTTCTGCCTACAGCAGTTTAAGCTAAGAGCTCCTGCTTAGTAATGTTATGCCTGAAAACAAACAGGCAATGATAATTTTCCAAATTTAATACTTTTTACAATTCTCAGACTACCCCCTCATAAAGGTGTTCCCTTAGCAATGATGATTAGGGGATTGTTTGATTCAATGCCATTCTCCTTCTAGCTATAGAGGTCCCTGCAGAATGGATCCTGGTGAGATTAACTTCTGAAGTCACTTGAAACTGCCACAGAGAACAGTTATAGCTAGAGAGGGAAGAACATATTTGACGCTAATGGCCTCCTTTTCTTGGGACTTGTCATTCACTTCACCATCTCCATCTGGCTGTACACCCTCCTCCAGAGAGTGGCATAGCAATACACTGAGGAACTAAGGTCCCTTAGTTTGACAGCTGCCACTGAAGCATCTCCCTAAGACGGGGACCATAATCATAAACCGCTTTTCCCAACACTACTTGCAGAGTTTTTAAAAGCATTACATGCTAGAAGTGTGCTAAAACCTGGGCATTCGTTATTTTCCCATGCCTCAGAAATAGCAAACATCATCTGCAAAGATGCTAAGCTGAATTATCTCATGAAACTCCTCAGGGTTCACCCAAAAATAAAAAAAGTTCAGTCCTTTACTTGCAACTCAGCTTTCACAGTACTACACTGGTATTCTCCTTTCTTTAGCTTTACAAGAGACAGGAACAGAAAATAGGACTTTCTTTTTAGTGCTTTCTTTGTACTCTAGGAAAGCAAAGATAAGAATAAACAGCTGAGAATAGAAATTCGGCATCACACACAGAAGTTAGTGTGTCAGCAAAGCCTTGCATTTACTGTAATGAAAAATGTAACTTGTAGATACTTATTTTTGGACATCAGCTTTTTCTATTGTTTTGGTCCTACTGGTGAACAATAGGTAAGTCTCAAACACAGTGATAGTATATGTGAGCGGAAATGAAACAAGACTACAGTGCAAAACTTTATTTAAAAGCCTCTCGTCCAGCAACTTCATGCTGATACAGAAAAAAATTCTGCACTTAATTGCATTTGGGTTTAGATTTCTTCTACAACATTTTGAAATGTGGGTACGTTTTTCTTTTTTTCTTTAAATGTGAAGAATGAACAGCAAAGCTCTCTGGCTTTTAAAACTCAGACTCGTTACAACAGAATTACCTTTAGATCTTGCTCTATCTGCAGGACTTTTGGCTTTCACACTGGTCTTTTTGAAAGTTTCTTTTGGTGCTTTCTTTTCATTAGCTGGAAAAGACTGTTTTGAGAGCGAAGCAGGTTTCCCATACCCAGAACTTCTAACCACCCCATGAGGACCATATGAAGATTTCTTTTTATGTAAAGGTGCTGGACTTCTTATATTCTTGTGTAACATTGGTTTAGTTGTCATTGATTCTGATCTTTCATTCTTCAAGGAACAAGATCGAAGAGCCTATGATAGAGCACATTCGTTTAAAACAATTTTTAGGCTCTAGTGTGATCTGAAGGTAGCTTTCCTTACTAAAATAGCACAGAATCAATTACCAGAATTACACAGCTGTAAAATTCGGGGCAGCAGGAAGCATTATTTTTAACCAAACTAATAGTACGTCATTTTGCAGAAGTTTACTACTTCAGAAGTATACATAGTGCAGGTATTTTATACTGGTTCTGTTTAGCTGTTGTGGGAAGTTGTATGACGTTACAGGATCTGTAGCTGACCAAAGCAGGCAGCTCATGACTAAAGGCTAATCACAGTGAACACAGAAACCCAGCGATGAAGACAGGAACAGTGGCAGGCAGAGGAACCTTACTAAACCTGATCATTGAAAACAGAGCATGCAACTCCTAAGCCCAGCAAATAAGGAAGCTTAACCTCTTGGCCCTGGTGGGAAACCCATCAGGATGAATCAGCCAAACAACCTCTCTCCCTGCAATGCTTTGCGGACAGAAGCAGTGATTGCCTAAAGGAGCATGGGGCTAATTTAGGGGATGCAGGTAGAAGAGAATTTGGGGATGCAGGGATTTGGGATTGTGTAAATCTTGTTATGGAATGCTGGAGAGGATTGTGGGAATGTGCAAAACTTAAGGGATGTTTAGGGAAAGGACAAAAGCTAGGTGAAGGGAGAGATTAAAGTGGATCAAGTAGGAACAAGTGTGGGAAACAGAGGGAAAACAAGATTAAAGAAGCTAATGACATGACCAGGTTGCTGGTCAGTACGGTTGTCTGACTAAGCCCTACATTGATCGTTGCAGTCTCTCCTATATTCAGTGAACTGTATTTCTAACTGTCCTCTCTGTAGGTATGCTCTCTATTCTGAGCCCGTGTGGGTTTAAACATGTCCCCCCAGTAGGAACACGTGCTCAGACTCACTACTAGCTTGAGCTGGGGACATGGAACCACAGTAGTGTTGCACATATTCAGCTGGGAATCCTGCTGGTCCCAGAGTCCACTGGATTGGGCTACCTCTAACAACAGCAATGGTAACATGAGAGTTTCAAAAAAAACCAGGAAGTCTCTCAATTTCTAAACATCAGAGCACAATCAAATAACAGGTAGTCTAAAAATACACACAGTTTAAATGTATTTCCATATAATAAAAATCTTGTTGATATTACTTACTTGTTTAGTTTTGCTGCCGTGTTGTGGAAGTGGAGAGTCTTGTACTATTATTTCTCTTAATACATCAGGCTGTACTTCACTGGTCTGAATTTCTTTCTCAGTCACCCTCTGAACGTTATCATCATTCACAGCTGTCTGCAGAAAGATGCTTTCTTCTCTGTTAAATTTTTCAAATAAGTTTGTCTCCCAAACTGTATTATTCTGGTGTTCTTTAAAGGGTGAGTGGCTGATGAGGTCATTTGCTGTGCTGCCTACCAGTTTCACAGGACTACAAGAGAAAGCAATAAAGTCTTATTATATGACTTTTACCTTTTGATTTTCTATTACTCTGGAAAAAGTGGGCCATTTTTCCTTTAGGTATCAGCTGTAAAGACTGCTTGAATTTGAAAGAGCCACTAGGCTCCTTTTAAGAACCGCCTTGCAAATTTAGTTATACAGATTCACTTCCACACTATGCAACAAGAGCCGTTTCCCAGCAGTGACTTTTTGTGGAGGTACCACACTCAGCTAACAAGATGAACACCTGCAAGCATGCTATTAATGCTAATAAAACAATGAATGGTAATTTCTGCTGGGTGCAGCTGTGCGATAAGCTCCCAAAATGCGTTTCCTAAGCATGATCTATTTCTGACAGTTCCAGGGCCTGTGCCTTCTGCTCTAGATGCAACAGCTGGAGCAAATCAGGAGGAGTTGTGGACCACAAGTTAGTAAGAATCATGAGAGTAAGCAGAATAAGAGGATTTGGTGATAGATTATGGAGGCTGGAGAGCTAGGATAGGATGTGGGTATGGGGAGGGGGAAGAGCAGAAGACTGGGAAAGCAGAGATCCTAGCTGTGGTAGCTGTGAGAGTGAGGAACACTCCTCCCCATTATTTGGCAAACATTGATGCTTATCACTCAAAGTTTGGGAATCCCTGGTCTAAACCAATTAACCCTACATATTCATTTCACAATACACTGCGAATGCCATAATGCCAGTGCAAAACATAATGAAATTTCAGTATTTAATTAGGGAAAAAGACAGATGAGTTATTTAGTAAGTTGTTTTTCACAAATAGATAATGGACTTAAGTTGTTACAGTTCTAAAATGCATTCTGAAATAAATACCTGTCAGGCTCCACATCAACACTTCTGATATTACATGAATGTCCTTTAATTGGTTTCATCAATTCTTCCACAGTGGGTAAGTCTAATTAGTGCAAAATAGAAAAAAAAATTAAAAAACCCCACCCTTAGAAAAACTATTTGTAAGAAGGACATTTAAGAATGTTTCATAAATGGAGCATTAAAGATATTACCAGTTCACTCAGTTAAAATGCTTGTACAAATACATGCCTGCCTTTGCGATATTTACCCGATTCAATAGTTGACATGTTGTTTGAATAGATGTCATTATTTTGTGAAACACCCTGCACTAAGCATTCCGAGACTGCCATTGCAGAATCTTGCAGTTTTTGCTCATCAGTGTCTCCCAAGGACTGATCAATATGATGGTATGCTTGGTGTAACGCTTCGATGTCACTGGTGGTTTGTCCATAGGAAGTGCCTGTGAAAAACACATGCTCATAAGAGACACTACAGGATTTTCTGTTTTGGGAAACATCCCACTGGAGCCTGTGTTTCAGTTACTAGCTTGGTCTATTATGTGGTGAGAACAGTGATTTCTGTTCCGAAAAAAAAAATCTAAAATCTCATTTTTACTGTAAAAATAAACAGTTGCAAAGTTAATTACAATTAGCATACTAATTAGTCTCATCTACAGTTTGTATGCCTCTCCAGCCCTCTACCCACCGCAATATGTTATCAGTACTAACACTAACAGCGTATGGGATATAACTATTTTAACAGATGCCATTAGAGCCATAGTCTAGATATAATTGGCATACACCGTTCTACAAGGTTTGATAACAGACTGTATTTTATAGTGTTCAAAGCTGTCAAAGATGAATTTTAGCTATGATGAATAACCAAAGGACATGGTATTTAAAAATCAAACTGCAATGTCAAAAGCAACTTTACAACAACCAAGTGTAAAAAGGGCTCTTTTTAGCAGAAATATGACTTTTTCCTGAAATATTTCCTCCTCCTTTCAAGATTTGTTATTAAAAGCCAAGAGCTTCATGTTCACTGATAACCTAACAACAAATGAAGACATCAGAGCCACCTGTTCTACTAAAGAAAGATTTGGAGGTTTGGGCTTTGTTGCGTGGGTTTTTTTTTGTTTTTGTTTTGTTTTGTTTTGTTTTTTAAAAGCAACCCTTACCTGCTTCATTACATTCAATTCCACTGACTTCTTCAGGCAGATAATGTTCACCTAGAGCTACATCTGATGTTTCAACGGCCTTTTGAAGTTCTGTAGTTGAATCTTGTGAATCAAGTAATACAACTAAAGCCAAGAAAATAAACGTTAAAGAAAACACAATTCTCTCATTCATACTTTATCTACACTGGAATTAGAAGGATACCAAAGCTTATCTTGATGCACTAAATATGCAAAAAATGCTACATAGATTATTATAATGTCATTAATAGTAAACTGATTAACTCTGATTGCAAGCATCAAAATCTGAGTACTGACTAGATGTAGGAAGATAAAAAATTACATTGATGATGATGTTGAAGTGCAAACACGTAGATTCATTTTTAACCATTTCAGTCCAACAGACTTTCAGTAGAACACAGTAAAATCAGGTGGAAAATATCAAAATAGTAAAAATCAGGTAAGAAAGTTTCAAAAAGCTACATTTAATATTCTCCCACTGATCAAAGTTTGCATTTTACCTTTAGCTAGCATGCCAGTGTTTGCTTCTTCCTAAAAAATAAAGAAAAAAAAATAAAGAAAAAGAATATTACTTTTTGAATTTCAGGGAAAAAAACCTTGTGGACAAACTTTAAAAGTTGGTGCAAAACCTGAGAACAGTTTTTAGAACTTAGAACTAAGCAGTTCTTGGTCCTTCAAGAATATGCACGTCTCTAAAAATCTTTTTAGGATGCCAAAAGGTCCTCAACATCCTGTACTGTATAAACTGTCTCACAAGTGACCTGGAACTAAATTCTACTCTGCATAAATCCAATAATATTTTTGTACCTCCCTGGTTCTCTTATATTGTAATTTGAGAAAAGAGAATAATGTAGTAGTAAGTACATTACACTTCCATTCTATTTGTCTTTCCAAACACTTATTAGACATTTGAAAGACTGAGGGACTTGGGTCTCTTTAGTCTAGAGAAAAGAAGACTGAGGGGGGATCTTATTAATGCCTACAAATACTTAAAGGGAGGATGCCAGGGGGATGGGAACAGTCTTTTTTTCAGTGGTGCCCAGTGATAGGACAAGAGGTAACAGGCAAAAACTTGAACACAGGAAGTTCCATCTTAACTTCTTTACTTTCAGGGTGGCAGTGCACTGGAACAGAGAGGTTGTGGAGTCTCCCACTCTGGAGACATTCAAAACCCGCCTGGATGCCGTCCTGTGCAACCTGCTGTAGGTGACCCTGCTACGGCAGGGGGTTGGACTAGCTGATCTCCAGAGGTCCCTTCCAACCCTGACCATTCTGTGGTTCTGTGATATTACCCTAATAAATTTACATAAAAAGAATAAAATCCTCATTTATCTTTTATAGATGAACACGTGGTGCTCTATAAACTTTCATAAAAAAATCAAATCAGAACACGTGCTTCAGGAATGCACCTGATGTACTCCAGTCACATCTGTTCCACATCAAAAGACCTGACTAAGCTAGTTGACAGTATTACTCCCAAAGCTCATACATTTTGGGTCCTCTGTCCAAACTGCTTCTCTGTACAGAACTACTTCCTTCAGTCTGTGCTACTTGCTAGTGTAGACACTACCTTAATGGCTCCAAGAGAGAGATTAATCACTACCCATCCTGAGGCTGAGGCTCCAACCAGAGGTCATCATTTGTGCACTCCTACCCACAGTTCTTAACTCAAAGGAGGAATAAGCAGGAAACACTGTGAAGAACTTAATCCTTTCAGTGATTTATCACAGGAAAGTGCATATCCTTAATAGAACATATAGTCCCAGGACCACTATATTTTTTTCTTTCAGACAGTACATATTATGTAAAGGTTTACTATATTTAGCATTATACATTGCAGAGCTTTTACAATTCATGCGATTAATATAAACATTTGGTAGGTTATACCTGTTTTTGAGGACTTAAATCAACTCCTGATATGATGTTTTCATTCACCTTACTCCCCTCAGTTTTAAAGGCAGGATTAGCATCTGTTTCTTCTTCAAAATCTTCACTGTAGCTGCCTGAAGAGTAAAATAAACATTAAATAGAATGAATAGTGAAGGAAGATAAAGCAGTAAGGGAAAGCTATTTCCTCTTCCCCAATCTCTCATCGAAAAACAGTTATTGCCACTATTGCTCCTTTCACAAAGGCAACAGAAAGGTTTTGAGATTGGGTGTGGCACTAAAACTACAGTAAAAGTCACACACAGTATCTCTAAATTCAAATGAAGTTTGTATTATGAACAGATATACTTCACCTCTGCCGCCTCAAGGCATACTTGAATTGAGCCCTTTTATTCAATGACTTTCTCTTTCTTACAGGTGAAATGATGCAATTCACCTCCTAGCAGACAAAGTGCTCTGCACATCCACCTTGACAACTCCAGCGGTTTTTAGGCTCAGAATCTGCTTCCTCTGACCTGCTTTGGTGGCCCAACAGCCACTCTCAAGAATAAGCATTATTTAAAAACACAAGTGTGTCAAAGAATAAATTTTTGTTACCTAGATCCTTCCACAACTTCTGATTCACTGTTGCCATATCTCCCTGACTCAGCTCCTGTGGTTACAGGCTTCAGTATCTGCATTATCAGTAACCCTTAAATCTAGAAGCATTGCAAAACCCTCGTTTATAATGTGTTCTTTCTGTGCTTAGACACACAGTCTAACTTATATGTAAAAAACACTCTATGAAAAGTAACTCTTCGAGCATTCACTTTGGTTTTGGACCATAAGTCTGATCAGCTGAAAATAGCTTTCTCATACTGACTTAAGACATACACAGTGCTTATACTATTCCTGTACACGTATTATCCACTATTACATTTGATATTTCATGAAATAGCAGCTTGGCAAAGACTAAACCAAACTACACACACCACACAGATTGATCATTCCAGGTATTCCATAGAAACTGTTTTCCTAAAAATCAGAAGTACCATTTTCATAAAACTGACTGTAACAATCAAGTAATTTCAACTGCTTCGTTCAGAAAAAGGCTACCAAATTGCTGTAGTATTTCTGCTACAACTGTCATGATCTCTTGCAATCTACAAAGTAATCAAACTTCCAAGGAGAGAAGATTTCCTGTGGTTAAGGTTTACAAATACAGCCCCTTTATGTTTGGGAAATTCAAGCCTGACTACAGTACCTCTCAAAAGTTCAGCTAAATATATAAATTTGAAAATACAATCTGTTACAGGAATACACTGTATCATAGGTTTGCAATGAAGAGTGAAATAAAGAGAGATGACAAGGGAAAGACAAATAAGCAAGATGTAAGGAATGTACCATGGAAATTTGGGAAAAAGATCAGGTAAGAGTAATGCTGCAGATTACAGAAATTAAACTCGGCTATGAAAAGACAGTACAAAAGTACAAATGACAGTTAAGACACTAGAATAACTCAAACATTAAGATGTATCTTAAATCAACACCAGGGTCAATTTTTATTCAGTTTTTGATCAACAGTTGCTTGGAGTTTTTTTGCTGTTTCTCTTTTAGACTTCAGTCACAATAGATTAAAATCCACTTAAAAAAAAAAAGCACAAACCAAAAGCAAACCCTTAAAATCCTCTGTCTGAACACCAGCTGCACAGTCATAACGCAAAGGCAGACTAAAAAGCCAGTGTGAGAACTACAGATAAAATGCAAACCATTAATATGAAAATTACATTAGATTTCAGATAAATAAAAGCTTTACCCACATTGGCCAGGGTGATATGGGAACAGAAGTCAATGGGTTTACACATTACTCAGAATAAAACAGTTCAGTGAGGATGCTGGACTGTCTTGCGAATCTGAAACCTATGAAGCCTGACATTTTTTGAGTAGCTCCAAAGGCAACACAGAGTATAGCACAAGCTATGAGACTGCAGTACAACTTCCTCTTTCCTGATCTTTAAACTACATCCCACTACAAACACGAAGATCCTGGGCTATCCTCTGAAACTCTGCTGTGATGCTTTCTGAAGACTTTGCATTTGAACTGGAGCACTAATCCACAACTTTCATTTCTGTTATTCTGTTTAATGAGGTTCACACAATTTTTAGTATATATACAGGAAAAAAAAATATTCAAATTAATGATTTAGAAAGATGGTATTACCAGATCTCTCTTCATGTGTGGATTCCTCATCTTTTTCATTTTTTTCATCTCTGAGAAACAAAATGAAAATTTTACTCTCTTCTTGGACAGCAAATAAATACAGTGTTTTTTCTTCAATTCCGAACTTAGACACTTACTACAATTAGCAACAGAATTAAAAACCTGAATTTGTCCATCATATCAAATCATATGTAAGAAAGGCTGATAAATGCCAGCAATTATTAAAATCAATATTTAAATTTTTACAACGGTCCATAGTTAAAATTCTCAATCTAAATCTTAAAAATCACACCCTTTCTGCATACCCTCCAACACCAACATTAGCTTCTCAAAGAAATTTTTATCACCGGGTTTGCTTCCTGTTCTGACCTTCTCATTCTGTATTAGTAAACAAACAAACAAAACCTCTCCTTTCTTTCCCCTTTTCCTGTGAAGTTATAGTTTTGTTCTTACCTAACAACTCTCCAGAATTCTGACCCTCCAACTGTTTTCATATTGGAAGCTTCCTTTGTACTCAGCATTTTTAGCAACAGCAGCCCGAATTGCCCTTTCATCTGTTTCTCTCACATGTGTTTGAACTTATTTTCATGTAACTGATTACAAATGGGTTGCCCTAGTCTATGAAGATTTTGCATCCTTCCTCTAGATTCATTTGTAACGTCATGTCTAAGGGGACATAGCATCTTTCCTGATCTACTTTCTTGTTATTATCAGTTATTAACTTTTCATTTAGTTACATCTTACAATTAAGAATGTTAAATCAACTTGTAACTATTGATTTATGCACAAGACTATGTAGCTATGTTCACTCATCACCAAGTCGTGTTCTCACCCTATTCCTTTTATTTATTAAGCTCACTTCTGTCCTCATCTTCAAAAAAAAAAAAACCACAAACCCAAAACCACAAACCCAAAACAAACAAACAAACCAGAAATTGACTGAAATCATACAAGATCTTGCCCCACAAAATCTCAGTAGCCATGGTATTCAGATACCCAGGCCCACTAATATAGTTCACTACTTTTCTTCCCTCTACATTACCTTACAAATGGTGCTAGTAATACAGAATCATTGGAATCCAGCTCTTTATTTAATCTTGAATAATCAATAGTAGAGGAAGCTTCTCGTTCAAGTTTGGCAAAGAAGATCTCTTTTTCTTCTTCTTCTTCCAAGGTATCCAATCCAACTCCCACATTACTTTGATTAGGCCCAGAAGCTAAAACTGAATCTAAATTTCAAAACAAAGAATAAAACAATTGTGTCTGTGCTGTATGTCCACGTAAAACTGTCATAATATTTAACAACAACTATAGACAGACTCACAAAATACTAACTATCAAATAATCACATGTTAGTACAAGGGGCCTTCAGCTCATGAGATGCAGCTGACAGACGTGAAGAATCCCGATTTGCGATAAATTAAGGGAAACAGTTTGTAATAGTAGTTTATTTAGATCTAGCCAACTTCATGAACTAGCTGCACTCTCAGTTCTCACCATTTGTCTCCAGGCTGTCTCTGCTTAAGGAGACAGCAACTCCATTACTTTTCTGAAGCTGCATCTTTTCCACTTGCATATTCTCATCAGTTTCCCCCATAGGCTGGGAAGTGTTCTGCATCTTGACAAAGCTTCCATTGCCTCCAAGCATTCCTAGGAAAAAAGTTGCAATATTCTTGACTATCATGTAAAAGCTATTTGTAAGACACTTCAGTCTTTTAGTCATCTTCCAGAACCACCAATTTTAACCTTATTGTGCAACTGCAAAGATTCCCAGTCTCACAAATCACATTCATCTAACTTCAGTTTCTACCATGAGATATGTAAATCTTGTTTAATGACAATTAATTATTCTATTATATACATTTTCTTCCTATCCTTCATATTTGCACACAAACCTACAGTTTGGCACGGGCAAATATAACAACTGTAAAAACTGACTTACTGTAATGTTTCTTATGGAGGACAATCACACACACAAACCCTGTACAGAAATTAACATTGCTTTGTTAAAAGACTGTTAATTTTTTTTGATCTACTACCCACAGACTTTTGAAAATCGTAGCCATTGGCGCAGCAGCTCCTTTTCATTTGTTGCAAATTAAATATTTTAAGGAAAAAAAACAGTAACCAAAGTTACTTAAAGGTCACCAATGAACACCCAGCTTTTCCATTCTGTATGTTTATGCAACTACAATATGCAGTTGCTCTCCTTACTGTAATTTCATTACATCTAAGTCCCTTCTGCCTGCCCCTAAGACATTTATACTTGGGTTCTTTAGAGGTTGCCTTAGGAGAAGGGCTAGGAGAAAAGCTGCTTAAGCATTTTATCCAATGACACATGAAATGACTTAACAGTTATCACAGAAGGGAACAGAAACCATGCCCGTCTTTTCCAACATGAATCTCCAGTTAGTAAAATAAACTTAGAATTTTTTGCTCTGTCTGGCCAAATGTTTAGACTGTAGCTGTGTCCTTGTACTGAACATACTGGAAGGGGTGAAGACACTGAGAACAGCTCATTTCCTGCTGGCCGGAGACTGCAGGAGATGCATACATCAATAACCCTTCAGATCAAGAACACTAAACCAGTCACCCACATGCTGATCAAGTGCTTCAACTCTGGGCTGTTACTTTATCCTCTGTACAGGTCCAACCAAGTCCCTTTTAAGAAAAACCATACCTGCCTATATCATGAAAATGGGGAATCCTCTCCCTTCCATACTGAAAATGTACCCAGGGTGAGGCAGGGTGGGGGAAGTATGAGTCTGAAAACCTTTTTCTTCCCTACAGGGAAGCCCTTAGCATGTGCATTCTGACTGTAAGAGCCTCCCTGTTCAGAAGTAGAATAGGTTTTTTTTCTTGATTTCCATGACAAAGTCCCCTTACATGTTTTATCGGTAGGCTAAGTGCATAAGATTCTACATCTTGGAAATGACTTCCACACTCCTGTATCTAACTTCAGCTCCAACCCTGATACAGAGCTCTGCCTGATTTGCCTTGCATGCAACAAATAAATGTCAGAGACATTGACTAAAGGTCAAGCTCCACATGTATACAAAAAAATGTCTGAATAAATACATTTTGCTACTACATTGAAAAGTTTAAAATGGAAAGCTCAAAGTGCTGAACAGAAGTGAAAAAGTACGAATAGTCCATCTCTCTGGCAGCTAAATGCAGTAATTTAAAGTAATTTACCCAGATGGTGCTCTATTCTAGTTATGAAGCCAGCCAACAGGAGCTAGGTCACAAGTCTTTTGCAGAGCTTTAGATTAGCCACAATCTCACCAGACCTCCAACACCTTATTTGTCAATAAGAATATGTTAGCAGAATCAAAAATAAACTGTCACTGACCTCCCATGTAAGATTTACAAGAAAGGAGGTGGGAAGTAAAAAGACAATTAGAAAATTAGAACTTTTAACAACAAAATTTTAAAGAAAACTATTTTCCTGAGTTGTTTTATTTAAATCATCTCAAACTCAATGAGTTTTCTGACAGACTTACATTGATCTTGACGTTTTCATGAGATTTATGTAAGCTATCTCATATTTTTCAAGTCTTTTGCCAGTTCAAACCAGACCAGAGCTTTTTTAAAAAAAGCCCCTCCCATAATAATCTCAAAATCAAATACTGTTTAGCAGCCACTGAGTTTTGCAACTCATCCACTTCCAATTCCCAGACATGCACCCCAGTTTACAGGAGATACAATCATTGCTAATAAAGGCAAAAATGTCTTTTTTACTAATCCTACACTATCTGCACTCTGAGAAACCTAACAAACTTGGGAAAAAGTATCAACCTGGATGGACTTCAAAGTCTCTCTTCACTGTGTTTTCTGGATTTTTGAACAGTCCTAGTGATTTCTGTGGGACTTGCAAGCGTGATTTATTTTTCGGCGAGTATTTGTTACTTTTTACGAAAACTTCTTGAAGCAGCAGTTTCCTTGAACTCCAAGATTTCACTACCCGTACTCTTCACATTAACAATTCTTGCAATATTTTGTAAGGCTCATGATACATAGCATTCTTCTTTAAAAGTCCTGCCCCTTGAAATTAATTAAAATAAGATGAGTTTCACTTAGAAAAATATTTCTAACCACCACACGAAAAGTTTAAGACTATAAATACAAAGGACTCAAACCTACATTCAACCACAAACATCTGTTTAAAAACTAACTTCTTTTCTCCTTAGTCTGACCAGGACTTCCAGAATTGAGCCATTTTAGCTTTTTAGTATCATATAAAATACAGCAAATCTGTTACCCTCAGAATTGTCTGGACTGTCAGAAGTGAGGCTTCCTTCTTCTTTGTTTAAGTATGAATCTTTCTTGTCCTTATGAAATTTTTCCAGCATTTTGAATTTAGACAAAGCCTTGCTGCGAGATGCACTGGAAGAAGGTTTAGGGGGAACTACTTTTAAGTGTACACAAACATTTATAAGTTTTTATACATAATGGACAGGGAACAAAGAGAAAAATAAGAAGTGAGAATTCAAATTGACACTTCTGAAAAAGTAATGCAGTTCAGTTTCCTGTAGACTGAATTATCTACAATTTTACAGCTATAATTAAAAAATAAAATTAATACTTATAACTTCTGAGAATAAAACTCTTTTTTCCCTCTACTTTTTATTTTTAAAAAAGACAAATTCCTTCTTGCTCCATGTATTCCTTGCATTCAAATACACTGTTCTAGGAGCTCAATATATTACCTGAGAACAAAGAAAACTAGCAAAACTACTTCAACAATAAACGAAGTTTTGTACTACAAGTTTTGAAAGAAAGCATCTAGGTCAGTTCAAAGAAAAGTGGAAAAACATAGCTATATAAATGTGAATTACTACTGTCTATTGTAAGAACTGCATATTGTTTGCTCAAACCCTTGTGAGGACTTGCCTAGCAGCAAATACAAACAAATACCTTCCAGTCACATTACTAGAATTAAGTTTTAGGTAACAGTACCTACACTGAAAACTGATGTTTAGATGATAGTCACACTACACACTTCACATACCTTAGGCTAGCCAGATGCATTGTATTAGACTTTACCTTGTTCAAATTGTCGGGGTGGAGGGGGCTTCTAAATTGGCTAATTCAGAGAAAACTCTTAGTTACAGGTCTTTTGAATCTACCTTGACACAAGAGAGAGAAAGAGTAGTCTAGGGGATCGGGCCAAATACTGCTATATAGAAACAGGACTATGGGGATATGTGACCAGAAGGTAACACAACTCAGAAACATCTAAGAAGACTAAAGGAAGCCAGTAAGCATATGGCAGGTGCAATGTCAAAAAAGAAATGGTATGAAATCCATTCTGATACAATGCACGAGTCCTTTATTCCCTCAACTGATGGCTGAGTCTACCAGTGAGACACCACTTCTCTAGATTTATATTCTCCCACATTTACTGTGAAACTAAAAGTGTTGACAGCATGCCTTCTATTGTAAAGGCAAACACCTGATGCCTTTCAAAACAGTAATTTGAAATAACTCCTTCTTTTGCACATATTTCAAATATTAAGCCTAATTTGAGACACAGATTCAGTTTTAGTGTTTGTCTCCCAGACCGAGATGCTTTATAGCTACTCTATGCAAATGAGGCTCATGAAAACAGGACAGCACATATGGTCTAGAAAGCTACCATAGGGAAATGCTCTATAGGCTACATAGTAGATCACCAACACAATCTAAAGACCAAGTGCCAAATATTTCTTTGCCATGGCTCTCCAAAATATTATTGATATGCTTGAATTTTACACCAAAGCCACATTTAAACTAGTACATACGAGTTATTTGCTATTGTATTTTACACAAAAGTATTTCATGGATCAACATTTATAACTCCTAATTATTCTTTGGAGTTTCTCTTCAGATGGCGTAAAAAGTGACTCCACATAAAAGGCTGAAGTAAAATTGACTAAAATAATCCCGCAGATTAAACAATTTAGTTTGTCAGTATGACACCAACTATACTGTTTCCATTCCAGCAGGAGCATGCACAGAGCAGAGGGAAAAGAATCACATCAACAGAAAACAACTAGAATACTTATCTGACTGCAGTTTTTGAAATTAAACAAACAGAACAGTGAATATTAATATTGCGGGCTGACATTCAATACTGTCTCTCCTAATACATCACTATAGGTAGTGATTTATGATGTAACGACAATTGAGCAAAAGTTCACACAGTTACTAGTTTCTTCTGGAAAGGACAAATGAAGTAAGTGGCAGCTTGTTTTCAATGAGAGCACTATGGTCAAACGGACTATTTGCAAAGGATTTCCTATAGGAAACATACTATTAATACAAAGCTGATACTGAATAAATTTAAGAAAACTTATATAACCAAATACCAGACTGGCAATCTGAATGGGGACTCTTTCGTTCACTGTTTTCCACTATTTCAGCATGGCTCTCCATCATTTTCTTCTCTTTCCTCATTTTAACAAATCTTGTCTGAAAATCTCGAAAAGCAAGACAAACAGCAAGAACAGACAGGCAAGCAAGACAGGACAGGAATTCTTATCATCCAATTTCTTTTTATCATTTAAATGACAAAACAAGTAGAAAGGACATTAGTTAGAGGTAGGTCTTTAACCTGCCAAATATGGAAGACAGTATCTTGAATCATAATTTGCACATTTCAGTTTAAAGCTGAAGAACAAAGAGTTCAAACATGCCTAGAATAACAAGTTGAATTATTTTAAAATGCACTTTATACTTCTCAGCCAAATGAACAGAAAGTCTATGTTGTTTACCATTAATCCACAAAACCAATTGAAAACAGACTATGAGTTTAAATATCTGCCAATTTCCTAGCAATTCTGTAAAAAGATGCCTTGGAAAAAAATAAATCAGACAACATATAAATGTATAGAATGTATTTCGTTTTCCAGTCATGTCTGTGTCTTTCAAGAAAGCGTGATATAGACACTGAAGTAACTCAGAATGAAAACCTCAAACTGTAAACAACTTATCAGCTAGGTGCATTACTGAAGCTAATTAGCTAGACTTTGCACTTTGTTAATATAACAATATATCTAGACAGTGTCACCCAAACAATTGTGCATGGCAATCCCATGCACAAATACAGGCTGGGTGGAGAATGGATTGCGAGCAGCCTGGGGGAGAAGGCCTTGGGGGTACTGGTGGATGAGAAGCTCAACATGAGCCAGCAATATGCGCTCACAGCCCAGAAGGCCAACTGTATCCTGGGCTGCATCACAAGAAGTGTGAGTAGCAGGTCAAGGGAGGTGATTCTGCCTCTCTGCTCCACTCTCATGAGACCCCACTTGGAGTATTGTGTCCAGCTCTGGAGCCCCCAACAAAAGAAGGATATGGACCTGTTGGAGCATGTTCAGAGGAAGGCCACGAAGATGATCAGAGAGCTAGAGCACATTTCCTATGAAGACAGGCTGAGAGAGCTGGGCTTGTTCAGCCTGGAGAAGAGAAGGCTCCATGGACACCTTATAGCAGCCTTCCAGTATCTGAAGGGGGCCTACAAGAAAGCTAGAGACTGACATTTTACAAGGGCATGTAGTGATAGGATGAGGAGGAATGGTTTCAAACTAGAAGACAGTAGATTTGGATCAGACATGAGGAAGAAATTTTTCACTATGAGGGTGGGAAGGCACTGGAACAGGTTGCCCAGAGAAGCTGTGGATGCCCCATCCCTGGAAGAGTTCAAGGCCAGGCTGGATGGGGCTTTGAGCAACTAGATCTAGGGTGAGGTATCCCTGCCCATGTCAGGGGGGTTGGGACTAGATGATCTTTAAGGTCCCTTCCAACCTAAACCATTCTAGGATTCTATGAAACATACCAACTCATACATGTGGAGCACATATTTGTAATGCAGTGCCACACTGTTGGCGGAGGTGAGATATACACATTTACGTAAGTTTGATTCATGATGACAAAATACTTTAAAAATAATAATTCTATTAGCTGACAGCCTGTTAATAAAGTCGTATCTGCAACCAACATGGAGGTTCAAGCCTAGAAGAATACACACAGTTCTCAACAAAATTTCAAAGAATGCCAACATTACACTTTTCAGAAATTGAACTCAGCTTATTTCCATATTGATTATAATATAGCAATAATTTTTTTTTTCCCCTAGAACAATTATTTTGCTATTTAGGGCACATTTAGTAATGTTACAAAAAGCTACAAATCTAAATCATCATCTTGTCAGTCATCTGGTGCAGTAATTTACATTGCAATGCTGTTGTGGGTTCATCCGTTATTAATACATCTGAGCAACACGGTACACAACATAAACCTGCTGAAGAATATTGGACCTACCAAAATTCTACTTGACAAAGTAGTTGGAAGCATGGAAGACAACAAGACAGACACACAGAGGAAAAAAGTGGCAGTTCTAGAAGCGTACCCACACTGAACTCCTTACAGTCACCTGACCTGTCATTTTAAAACAATGCAAGAATATCTACATGAACTAAAGTCATAGCATAGTCTGTAGTGTGTACACACATATATAAATCCCTCTTTATGTGTGGGATTCATCGCCCTCAGTTATAGCCACATAAAAGTTATCTACCTCCGCAGCTGCAGAGGAAAACTCGGTTTATACTGAAAGTGGCCAAGTTGGCCTCTACAAATGGCTCTCTTTTGGTTCTACGTTAATTGCCCTACAACTAGACTTTGGTTAGCAGAATGGCATTCATCCTAGTACAGGCTGCTTCTGTGCTATGCAGTTCCTAACCTATCGCAGTATACGTTAATACAACTGCTACACCACTTGCGAGTGTCCAGTGTGACATATATAGTCCTTTCCTCATGGAGTGATACAACCAGGAGCTCTGCTTCATACCACAGAGCTATCCTCTTCTCGCCAAGTAAGAAATTGGAAAGCCCTCTAGTAAAACTTAAGCGCCTCTCTGCTTGGCAATAGTAAAGTACTAGGTGGATATGGCTTACTGCGTATGTCCCACAAGAACGGAATTCTATGCAGAGACTGATGACAGAGGCGTAGCTGAAATAAAACTAATAATCTGGTGGCCAAAATAGTGCTTGGGGAAGAATTTGGTGCACAGATCTAGCATATATGCCCCACATTCTTGTATTCTCTGTTTTATTATGACCAGCTGCCATGACATGTTGGACTTTTGATTCAAAAAGCATTACACACAGGTTACTTTCAACTCCCTCTGAAAAAAAATAAGCCCCTTATGAGGAGTATGAATATGAATATGAATAGGCTAGCTTATTCTGCAAGTAAATGCATTATGTACTGGCAAAACTGGGTAAGCTCACCTTCTGAATGTTTTCCTGTTAAAGGAGAAGCCTTTTAAAAGAGAGACCTTAAAAAGCTTACCAGAACTCTCTTTTTATTTTATACACCAATAAACTGCAGATCAAGCATGTTTCAGTTCTAATCGCTTTACCTCTAGTTAAAACTACGCAGCTGATAAGATATTAATTTAAAAAATAAAAGTTGTAGAATTGATTTGGATGGGAATAACTTGATATAATCACATTATTTCTTCTGATTCTGCTTTGCATTGTACTTAACCCATACAAGCACTGTTCTCCAAAACTTGTAATCACCCTGCCTTTTAAGTACCCATTCCAGTGGGGTTTGGTTTAAGTAGCACGAGAAGCACCGAAGTGCTTTATGGGTTGCCTCAAGTATTTCAGAAAAAACACGGAAAAATGCCAAAATTCTAAAGTCACCTGAAAACTTTCTTTGATAGTATGTAGAAAAATGAGGTCATGCTAACCGCTTAATTCTCACACTTTGCCCAGCAAGAACACTCTGTCCTTCCATTTTTTTGAAAAGCTGTAAGGAAATCATAATATCTTGTTACTACCTGATATGTAGTTGCACTGTCTGATAGGAACTCTCATATTCATCCGAGTTTTCCAGCAACATCTCAAAAAAGGCCAGGGACAGATAAGCAGTCCAGACAACACCTATTAGGGTTATGCCTAAATGGCACAACTGCTGACTAAGATCTAGCTCCTAATTGTGACAACACTGACAGGACAGAGCAATGCTTAAAATCGGAGACTACCAGCACTATCTTAACTCTTGTCATATGAAAAACTCATTTCTGGAACTTTCTGTTAAGCTCCAGTTTTAAGTTATACAAATCATGAAAATAAGAAGCCACCAATTACTACAATAAGAGGCATCGCCCTGTGGAAACTAACTACTCATAGGCTTTACTACTCAATAAGAAGACAACGAAGAAATGGAAAACTGGAGGAGGAAACCTTGCACATGAAAGTAAATTTTCTTCCAGAACTACGTGACCAAGTAAATACTGAACTAGCAATCATGCCATCACAGCCCTTTTCTCCCTGAGCCACCGTTCTTGGCAAGGAAAATGTTGAGAATACTGACAGACATACATCTTTGAATCAGGTGCTATTGAAAAGTTTTTCTGTGCTTCCCCAACCTATTACAAATGTTGCAATTAGCATAAGATTATACAAATTGGTCTTTTTCCTCTCCAGTTTGGAAAACAGAAATCTATAAAAGACACATACAAATATTTCAGGGTAATTCCTAAATTACATTTTCAAACTATCTTATATTTACAATGCATTTACTCTTTACAAGTTTTCATAACTTGAAAGCTAGAGAAAAAACAGCAGAAAGCTTGCTTACAGCTTGAGTATGATCCCTTTTAAAAAAATACAACTACATTTGAGTTTTACACTTTACAAGTCTGCACTGTTATGTTCTAAAGTACTTGAGTGACATTAACTTAATCTGAAACCGAGACTACATGAAACATGAGAAAGAACTAGCCTGACCCCCTGTGGCCAAAAAATTGCAAAACTACATTATTTACCACCACCATCCGAATCTTCCTCAGATATCCACCATGGCACTGAATCCTTTTTCTTTGTTTCTTTTTTCCTGGGCTGTCCCAACGTCTCAAGAATGCTGGATTTTTTCTTTGAATTTCCAAGTGAATCATCTGAAAGAGACTGAGTCAATTGCATACGAGATTAAAGACAGCTTCTACGTTTTCACATTAACTGTCTTTCAGCCACTCAATTCTGGACTTCTAAGTTCAGATGCTTCTCTACTCCTCACTGCCTGCTTTTTTTGTATATGCATGACAAAGTTGATTAAGAAACAATAACTATATTCATGTGGCATAACACTGTATATTATAATAACCCCATTGCCAGAATTTGGATACGTTAAAAGTTCACTGCTTAGCAGAATGTATGTTCAAATGAACAGCATAATCAGCTCTTTTTCAATTAGTTACAGCATATAAGAACCAAAATCCTGATTACATCCCTGAAGACAATGAAGCGAAGCAGAAACAGTTTTGCCTTGGCCTTGCTTTGTACATGAACATTATTAATATTCTAAAAATAAACCTTCACAAGCAACATTCTAGCTCCCAGCAAATCAGGTTTCAGAAATTAATTTTATACTTTGTGTTCATGGAAATTAACAGAAATGCCAGAGCCATTTCCACCCAAATCTGTGTATTAAGCTTTCATATGTGCTAGCCATCCATGCCAATTTTGATTGAAGGCTTAAATCAATGGAGAAAAAAAAGTTTATGAGTATGAACATCGTACAAATTCAAGTTGCTGAAGAGTAACAGGAAGGAAAAGACCTACAGATGCTTCATAAGACAACAACTTTTTTGAGGTGATGCTGCTTTTTAAAAAAAAAACCAAAAACACCACCACTAATCTCTGCTCTTTTCCTTTAATAAAGCTCTTTGTGGTTTACAGCAAACTCAGAGCCACAATTAGCTGTCCAGATATTGAACAAGGAAATAGATTCATTAATCTAGTGCACTGCAACCTTATGTGCTACATATTCTTTGTGCTTACACTCAATAAACATAGGCTTAACAGGAGTGGCATAGTTTTTTATTTTTATGTAATTTTTAAACTGTAATTGTTGAAACCAATTGTCCTAAAGTGTCTCAAAGAATAAATTGAATAGAGATAGCAAAAGCCATAAAACGTAAGAAACAAAGAATTCATATATGAAATGCATCATATGGGAAAATTTCAAAGCTTCACTTTTGTAATAGTCACAAATAAGAAAATTTGATAGTATAAACTGAATACTAGAGGCAACAGTACCATGGGTACCTAACATGTAGAACACAAGAAAAGGATGTTTTATTGAAACAAGCGTCTGCAGTCCACTGCCTGATTCCCATTGCATAAAAAGCATGACCATTAAAGTCTACTTTTACTATATATCTAATGCTTCAATTTATATGGGCCTAACAAGAACATCCATAAATCAAATGCCAATTATCCCAAACTACCACTTAAGAAAAAAAAAATATAAGAAAATACTATTCGTATGAATATCTCTGACCAATAACATCTTTAGAGCTTACAGTTTCACTTGAGAAAACAAAATGCCTGTCATAGTCTCAGAAAGAAAATTTAAGTGCTCAGAGCCTTGCACTTTAATAAAACACAATTTTAATAAATTCTGAAATTGCTGGACAACAGGATGTATTGCAATTTCTTTAAGCTGGCTCAGTGACATAGAACCAGGCAACATTACATTCTTAATAAATGTCCTATAAATAACAACTTCCTTACACTAGTCACAACACAAGTACTGGTGCCATTGTCCCCAAAGGTTGGACTGCCTCCTGCTAGCTAGAAGTACTGACAGGTGCGTGATGCAAGTTCTGTTATCGCTTGCTGGGTTTTTTTATGACTAACAGTATCCTCTACTCTGCAAGCAGAACTTCAGTGATGCTCATACTCCTTAGAGTATTGTAACTAAAGAAACTGAAACTCCCACAGGTTTTTCTCAAGTTCTGGAAACTTTCTATGTCCAGCCATCTTGTCAACTGTAGACAGTAAAGTTGCAGCAGCTGGGAAAAAAATGCTGACACAAAAATATTAGTGCATTTTTCCCAACATGTCAGTTGTCTCAACAGCAAAACTTACAGACTTTTTTGTATTCCTTTGAAAAAAAAGTACATAAATAAATCAATCAACTTTTTGGACCAGTAATGGCTTTTTAGTGCCAGTAAGCAGCACTGATTTTTTTTCCTTCCCCTCTTCTATAAAAGAGCCTGTCGGCCTTTCAGGAGCACAGACACACAAAAAAAACCCCAAACCAAACAAACACAAAAAAACCAACAAAACCCCCCCAAAAGGTGTCAGTTGTTTAATCTCAATTTAAATAAAAGACAAAAGAGTCAGTTTTAACAACTGGGACAACTACGTGGCACCTAACCAGCTTATCACCTCCTATACATATGAAGTAACTTAAAAAAGTAGATAGGTAATACAGGATTAGATCTAAAACACTCAGACTTTCATGACCAGTTGTCCTAATTATTTAATGAAACAAGTCTTTCTCAATAAAACAAGTCTAGTCCAAATTATATTTTTAATACAAAATAATATTTTAATATATTTGATCTTTTAATTAAAATTAAAAATATTTTTCAAACATGGTTTCATGTATAGTGTTACTCTCACAGGTACTGTTCTACAGATTTTCTAATAAAGATGGTATAGCCTTTCCTTTTGTCCATGAATATCAAGTAGAACAAAAGTCAGCCTAGAAGACTAGAAGCAGACAATGGCTTTTTCCTAACTTTGCTTTTCTTGAAGTGTCATAAAAAAAAGCAATTAATTGAAACACTGTGTATTAGAAGGAGCTCCTCACATTGCATGTCCCAGGGGAACTTCACAGCCAACACTAAGAAAACTCAGGAGCTAGACCGATATGAACAGATGATACGTAAATTAAAGTGACAATAGGGGTAGTACACTAAAGCAAGATACTGGTGGTGGGGAGTGGAAGGATCACAGGCACACAGACAATGGAGGAGGAAAAGAAAAACTACGGATGACAACAGGCCATTCTGGCAAGTGGTTAGGAGTAAGTGTGACGAGGCAGACATTTGTGTTTCCTTTGGTAAAAAAGTAAAAAAGAAAAAAAAAAGCTTTTAAAGTTCAGTGCATATGCCAAAATACTTTAGTTTATTCCTCATATTAGACCTGCAACATCCAACTGTATCTACAGTCTTTCTTTAACTTCACATGTTTTAGTCGCAAGTAAACATACAATCCTCCCCCCAAACAAACAAAGGCAGTTTCACTAACCAGGAGTTATTTAAAAGGGAAAAAATATCCTGCTCCATTTCTCCTCTGAAAGATTTGCTTAAACAACATTAAGTCTTCTTTGAACTATTAAGAAATAGTGTTTGCTATTCACACCCCTCCACCATTGTACTCTCAACACAAACATCACCTACACAGTGATTTCAAAAAATGGAGCCCACCAGTTTATCATCTTTCTAACATTAAAAGGCCGCACGCTTTTTACAAAAAAAAAACAAAGGCAAAGGGAGGGACATAACAGAAGATGCATGTATACAAAATAAGAGAGAGTAGATAACGTCATTGTTATTTGGGTCTGCATCTAGATGGCGAAACAAAATGATGATATTGCCATGGGATGAAGTGCTGGAGGGAAGAAGGGCCCAAGAAAGTTGGTTAATATTCAAGGATCACCTCCTCCAAGCTCAGGAGCGATGCATCCCTACAAAGAAGAAGGCAGGCAGAAAAGCCAGGAGGCCTGCATGGATGAACAAGGAGCTCCTGGACATGACTAAAAGCAAAAAGGAGGCCTATAGGGAGTGGAAACAGGGGCGGGTAGCCTGGGAGGAATACAGAGGAATTGTTTGAGCAGCCAGGGATCAGGTTAGACAAGCTAAAGCCCAGATAGAACTAAATCTGGCCAGGGACATTAAGAAAAACAAAAAATCCTTCTTGAAGTAAGTCAGTGAGAAAAGAAAGACTAGTGAAGATGTGGGCCCTCTCCAGAAAGAAATGCAAGAGCTGGTTACCTGGAACAGAGACAGAGCTGAAGTACTCAATGACTTTTTTGCCTCAGTCTTCACTGGCAAGGACGACAGCCGCGCTGCCCATGACGCAGAATGCAAAGGCAAAGATTGGGAAAATGAAGAACTGCCCACAGTAGGTGAAGATCAAGTACGAGACCACCTGAGAAACCTGAAGGTGCACAATTCCATGGGACCTGATGAGTTACATCTGCGGGTCCTGAGGGAACGGGCAGATGAAGTTACTAAGACACTAGTCATCATATTTGAGAAGTCGTGGTGGTCTGGTGAGGTTCTTGCTGACTGGAAAAGGGGAAACATAACCCCTGTTTTCAAAAAGGGAAAGAAGGAAGGCCCGGGGAACTACAGGCCAGTCAGTCTCACCTCTGTGCCTGGCAAGATCATGAAGCACATCTTCCTGGAAATTCTGCTAAGGCACATAGAAAATAAGGAGGTGATTGGTGAGAACCAGCATGGCTTCACCAAGGGCAAGTCATGCCTGACAAATTTGGTGGCCTTATACGAAGGGGTTACAGCGGCAGTGGACAAGGGAAGATCAGCTGATGTCATCTACCTGGACTTATGCAAAGCGTTTGACACCGTCCCACATGATATCCTGGTCTCTAAATTGGAGACATGGATTC